TTACTTTACAGAAACATAAACAATGACTTTCCTAGAGTCTACCTGATATCTGATAGATAACTAAGATGGGATAAAAGGCTTGCCATCTCCATCTTCATAGCATGTCTGTCCCTTTTGTTGTCTTAACCTTTTAGTCAGATTCTATTCAGCTCTGCATGCAGACATGTTATCATTTGAGAAATGTTTTATATAAGACTATAATACAGGGTTAATTTTGCCTATTATCCATTAGAGCAGATATGAGTTTCTTCCACACCACCCTTCTGCTTTCTCAGTAGCTCAAGTACTTAAGGTCCTTCAGCCTTATTTTAAGGCCCAAACCAAACCATGAGGCCAGAATGCTTATGTAATCTAATGACATCAACAGGAGGGACTGGGCAGTTCCTGGGTTAAGTCACTGCTGGTTAGTCCATCAATTACAAGGCCAGGATGTTCAAACATACAGCCTTTGAAACCCTGCCCATGACTAATGGGCAATTACCCTACCTTATCCCACCTTAAAGAAAGAATTGATAAAAGCCTGCTGCTCCCTTTGCTCCCTTTGCTAAGGGAGCAGTCTGATCACTTCTTTGATTGGTGTTAGCTTTCTCTTGCTTGTTTATAATATGTGCCTTGATTTCATGTCTACTGTTTCTATGCCTTAAGAGACTGCCATGCAATATCAATAGTATTATGATCTTGACATTTGATGATAATTTGTTATTGTTATTGCTAATGATGCTTTTCTAGAAAAGTTGAAACAAATAACTTTCAAAGAAGAGCATTAACAGAATGCAACAAGACTGGGCATTGCAGAACCTGATGGATTCATGACCAAATTTTACCAAACCTTTAAAGAACTAACACCAATACTCCTCAAAGTTTTCCAAGAAATAGAAAGGGAAAGAACACTACCAAACTCACTCTATGAAGCCAGCATTATACTCATTCCAAAACCCAATAAAGACGAAACAGAAAAGAGAATTATAGCCCACTATCTTTAATGAATATAGATGCAAAGGTTCTCAACAAAATACTGGCAAACAGAGAGAGGGTGGGGGTGAGGGGCAGGGAGGAGAAATGACCCAAACAATGTATGCACATGTGAATAAATGAATAATAATAATAATAATAATAATATGCTTATGCCTCTCTACAGAGGATGAGTTCCCACATTAAAAAAAATACTGGCAAACAGAATTCAACAACACATCAAAAAGATCATACACCATGACCAAGTCAGTTTCATTCCAGAGATGCAAGGATGGTTCAACATAATAAATCCATAAATGTAATACAACATATAAACAGAAGCAAAGACAAAAACCACATGATCCTCTCAATAGACACAGAAAAAGCCTTTGACAAAGTCCAACACCCTTGTATGATAAAAGCTCTGAATAAACTAGGAATAGAAGGAATTTTCCTCAATATAATAAAGATTCTATATGACAAACCTAGAGCCAACATCATACTAAATGGAGAACAACTACAACTGTTCCCCTTAAAATCAGGAATGAGACAGGGCTGTCTGCTTTCTCCACTCCTATTCAATATAGTTTTGGAATTCCTAGCCAGAGCAATAAGACAGGAGCAAGAAATAAAAGGGATTAAATAGGGAAGGAAGAAGTCAAACTATTCCTATTTGCAGATGTCATGATTCTATACCTAAGAGACCCCAAAAACTCTACCAAAAAAACTATTAGAAATAATAAACTCTTTTGGCAAAGTAGCAGGATACAAAATTAACATACGGAAATCAGTGGCTTTTCTATAGATCAACAACGAACAGACTGAGAAAGAAATCAGGGAAACAATCCCATCTACAACAGCCTCAAAAACAATAAAGTACCTTGGAATAAATTCAATAACAGAAACCAAAGACCTTTTTAATGAAAACTATAAACCACCGAAGAGAGAAATCAAAGAAGACAACAGAAGATGGAAAGACCTTCCATGCTCGTGGATTGGTAGAATCAATATTGTGAAAATGGCCATACTACCAAAAGCAATCTACATGTTCAATGTAATCCCTGTCAAAATTCCAACGACATTAGAAAAAACAATTGTGAGATACATATGAAAACACAAAAGACCCCAAATAGCCAAAGCAATTCTGAGCAAAAAATCCAATGCTGGAGGCATCACAATACCCGACTTCAAACTATACTACAGATCCATAACAATAAAAACAGCATGGTATTGGCACGAAAACAGACAGGCAGACCAATGGATCAGAATAGAAGATCCAGACATAAACCCATGCATCTATAGTCAACTGATCTTCAACAAAGGAGCCCAAAACACACGGTGGAAAAAAGACAGCCTCTTCAACAAATGCTGCTGGGAAAACTGGATATCCACGTGTAGAAGACTGAAACTAGATCCCTGTCTTTCACCCTGTTCCAAAATCAACTCAAAGTAGATAAAAGACCTTAATATAAGGCTTGAAACAACTCCAGAAAGCAGTAGGAAATATACTAGAACAGACAGGCATAGGGAATGACTTCCTAAACAGAACTCAAAAGGCTCAGCATCTAAGAGAAACAATGAAGAACTGGGACTGCATCAAACTAAAGAGCTTCTGCACAGCAAAGGAAACAGTCACCAGATTCAAGAGACAGCCCACAAAATGGGAGAAAATCTTTGCCAGCTACTCATCTGATAAGGGACTAATATCCAGAATCTACAGGGAACTCAAAAAATGCAGCCCCCCAAAAAATCAACACTCCCATGAAGAAATGGGCACATGAATTAAACAGGGAATTCTCAAAGGAAGAGGTACAAATAGCCAGTAAATACATTAAGAAGTGTTCAACTTCTCTGGTTATAAAAGAGATGCAAGTCAAAACAACACTTAGATTTCATCTCACCCCAGTTGGAATGGCCATAATCAAGGGCAATAACAACAAATGCTGGCGAGAATATGGCAAAACAGGAACCTTATACACTACTGGTGGGAATGCAAATTAGTACAACTACTATGGAAAGCAGTATGGAGATTCATCAAAAAACTAGAGATAAATCTGCTATTTGATCCAGTGATATCTCTCCTGGACATCTACCCAAAGGAACATAAGACAAGATACAGTAGAGACACCTGTACACCGATGTTCACTGCAGCACTATTCACAATAGCCAAGCTTTGGAAACAACCCAGGTGCCCTACAACTGATGAATGATCAAGAAATTGTGGTATATATACACAATGGAGTATTAGTCAGTCATAATGAATAACAACGTGGTTTGAAGGTAAATGGATGCAATTGGAGGACATCACGTTAAGTGACGTTAGCCAGGATCAGAAACACAAAAGCTGCATATTTTCTCTCACACATGGAAGACAGACACAAAGATAAACATATACACAAAACAAGCATGATCATATACAAACTCAGATGTAGAACATGGTTGTAACAGTAGAACTACTCTATGGAATTTAGGGAAAGTAACAGAGAATGATAGAGCATCAGTAATATCGCATAACATAAGATGTGAAGGTAGAGGATATAAGGATGTGTATTGAAAACTGTTGAAAAATGGGGAAGTGGGAGGCAAAAGGGTAAGGGAGAGTAATGGAAGGGGTTGAACAGACCAAAGTAAAGCACACCCACAGTGGGCATACATTGAGACACCCTTTTGAACATCAACTTAAATATTAATAACGAAAACCAGGACTGTAAAATAGGTACAGTGTGGGGGGGTGTGCTAGTGGGAGGGGGAGGGTGAAGGAAGGAGATTAAGATGATGGTATGTAGTGGATGGACTTCATACACCTATATAAAACAGAACTAAGAAACCTCTTGCAGTTGCTTTAAGTGGGGCAGGGAGGGGAGAGATGATGGGGGCAATGCAAATAATGTACAATACAAGTCTAATCGGAATTGTCACTATGCATTCCCCCACCCCCGTGTAATAAATATATCCTAACAAAAAATTTTTTAAAAAGACTGTGCACTGTAGCTCAGTGGTAGAGCACTTTCCTTGCTAGCTTGCTCCAGGTCCTGGGTCACGGCACTGTAAACAAAAAACGAAAAAAAAATTAAAAAGCAGGAAAACACTCAATAAATATATATATATTTTTCTTCCCATTAGATTATCTAGTTCCGTGGTTCTCAACCTTACCTGCACAGTGCAGTGACCTGGGGCTTTAAAAGTACATATGCATTGGGTCCCACTGAGCTGATTTAATTGGTCTAGGCTACAGAATGAGCATTGGGACTTTGAAAGCCTGTTGTCATCCTAATGTGTGACCAAAGATGAGAACCATTGCTCTAGTTCAATGTACATTCAGGTATAGGTCAACATAAAAATAGGTGCAAAAGTTCAGAGTTGCAATTTTTAACAAGTAGTACCAATCTCAAATTTTATAATGAAAGACATTGGGGAAAAAATTTAATCAACACGCACAAATCCCAAAGATACGTGAGGTGAAATAAGCCAGACATAAATGACATGGGAATCTTATGCAAATATTTCTATTTATACAAGTTAAAGAAAGAAGAACGGGACCGCGGCGGGGTTAGGGTGGGAGGAGCGGGGCTGGGGAGGGGAGCGGCAAGGGAGAAGAAAATTCCTGAGATGAAAATGTTCATTTTGATTAGGGTACACGGACATATTCGTTATCAAAACTCATCGAAATAGAAAATTGAGAACTGTATTATGATTTCCATGTATATAAACTATACTTCAGTAAAAATAAACGTCATTAACTTAAAAGGGATAGCTACGATAAGTACTTCAGATGACCCCAAATCCTTGTTAAATTAAAAGGAACAGTAAACCCCATATCAGAACCAGTCAGAAGGGAGAGCAGACAGCAGGGAGGGCCAAAGCCCAGGGAATCACTAGATGGTTTGCAGACAAAGCAAAACAGCACCTGCACGCCGGCACTCGAGCGTTACAAAAAATAAGCCCCTACACCATTTTCCGGTACTCGCAAGTCCACCCGGGTGTCCTCACCGGAAGGGTCCGGAGAGAAACGTCCGCCCCAGAGCAAAGGAACCGGTGGCAACTTGGTTCCTGCGCGGATGCTGGGGCTGTAAAGCGCCGCGCGGTCGGCTTTTTGCGTATCGCAGGGAGGAGGACGCCGGGGCTCGCCTTCTCTCCGCTGCCGCGATGATTCCTGTTTCGCTGCTGGTGGTGGTGGTGGGTGGTTGGACTGCCGTCTACCTGACCGACTTAGTGCTGAAGGTGAGGGCCTCGGGCCTAAGGCCCAAGCCGACGGTGCCCATGGCCGGAGCGCAAGGTCCTATGTCGCCCGAGGCCTTTTCTCTTCCTTTGCCAAGCGCCGCCGGGGCTGGACGCCGCACTGCCGGTTCCCACGTGCGGCCTTCCGCGTGGCGCATCTGCACCCGTGGAGTAAATAAAGCCGGGCTGGCTGCGGGAGGGGTGTGGCGGCCCGCGCGGCTGCCGCATTGCGGGCGATGTTACCCGAAGCCTTTGGAACGTGCCCGGGAGGTGCCGGTGATGGGCTCCTGAGACAGTGTATCAGGAAGGAAAGAAAGTAAGACGTCCGCTTAGGACTTGTTTCAAGATTACGACACTCTAGAGACTCTGGTATTGGAATGAATCAAAATCAAGTCGTGATTTAAACCACTGGTCTCAAACTCGAAAGTGGGTACGATTATGTGGGGTTCCGGTTAGAATGTAGATTTTTGTTCAGCAGATCTGGAGCGAAGCCTAAGATTCTGTATTTCTAACCATTTCCCAACTGCTGCCGATGCAGCTGATCCACAGACGTCATTCTCTGAAGTAAAGGATTTAGACTACTCGAATTCTGATTTGCACCCTGCGCTCCTTTCTTCACACTAGCCACACAAACCCTGGGTGCACAGTCCAGTTATTTGGGAAAGGTAGCAAGAAATGAGGAACAGTTGTCTGACCACATGCTTTAAGCAACCTTTTGGAATGGAATATTAAGAGGGGTGGGGGTAACAAGATGTGAGGAATAAGACCATATGTTCTCAATTCTTAATAAAAAATCCATTTATGAATAGTAAAACCTTAATGTTACGAATACTGTTTTAAATACAATGCTCTAGTGTTGTGTATCTTATCTATAATAATGAAATGAAACAGTAATGTGATTCTTTGTATTTAAACTTGCAAAGAACAAGATGGTGTACAATGTAATCCTCAAGAGGCCTGGGTTCCCCCACTTGCTAGCCTTTGTGACCTTGGGCAAATTACTACGTGTGCCTTGGCTTCTCATCTTTAAATAGGGATAATAATAGGAAGGGTCTCCTGAGATTATGAAGAGGATTATACAAGAGCATCTACATAAACCCTGAGGTTTGAGGACCAACATTTTCATGATTTGAGAGCTTGTCAGAAAGAGAATCTCAGGCTGCACCACTGACCTACAGAATCAGCATCTGCACCTTAATGAGATTCCCAAGTGATTCCTCTGCACATTTGTGTTTGAGAAGCACTTCTGTAAAGAACTTGGCACAAGGCTTAGTATGTCATAAGCAGTACAGGCCACAGTGATTTCATTGTTTATGTGAAAACATCCAAAATAAAAAAAACTCATCAAACCTGTACAGTTAGTCCCTAGTCAAGGGTGTGAGGTGATCACAAAGACACTTTAATTTCAGTGGCAGCACCAAGCTCCCTGTGAGAGTACTAATCCCTGAGCCAAAACACTAACACTTACACAGAGTTTCTGCCTGGGCAATGGAGATACCTTGACTTTTAGGAGCCTGTACCTCTAGCTTCTCACTTGCAGCTTAGTCTGCTGTTCCATCCTTGGTTTTCTAGCATTTCCACCATACACATCTGCAGGAGGGGTGTGTCACTCAGTCCTTTTCAAGTTCTGTAAAACAAGCAGGTTTTAAAAGATGGAGAGCAGAGACCAGTACAGATCCAAAAGCAAACAGATACCAGAGTTCAGCCTCAGGTCATTTTTTATGACGATACTAGGACTCAAATAGCCTTCTAGGAAAAACAAGTTTCGCACATAGGTGGACATGAATTGTAACAATACTTACAGTGTTTACTGTAACTGTCAGGTACATAACACTGCCTTATGTTATCCACAGACCTACATTAGCCAAGGACTTCCCTAAAGATAAAAACTCTTGCTGTGGCTGTGTTTAAGCAGCTATCCCCACAACTGCTGGGGAACTTGAGATATTATCAACACCAAGACGGCTTTATGTAAGTTTTGTACTTTTACGTGATCAAAGTTGACCTAACATAAGACTTGTTCACAAGAAGACAAAGCACTGATTCAAACTTCTGCTGAATTGGTTGGAGGGAGGGTCTTTAAAATGATAACACAAGACCCTTTTTCTTTCTGTGCCAACCAGATAACCTGTGCTATCCTGTATGGTAGTTGTTAGCTAAATGGGGCTAATAAGCATTTGAAATAGAGCTAGTCTGAATAGACGTGCTGTAACACTGACACCAGATTTCAAAGAATTAAAACAAAAGTCTCTTAAATGGGGGGGGAGGGCTATACTTGGGTTTGCACTTAGGGTTTTGAGCTTGTTAGACAGGCACTCTATCCTATTTTAGACTTCAGACCTTCACTAGGATGATAGGTACACATCACTGCGCCCAGCTTTTGGTTGAGATGGGGTCTCACGAATTCTTTGCCCAGGCTGATCTCGAACCACAATCCTCCCAATCTCAGCCTCCCAAATAGCTAGTATTACAAGTGTGAGCCACTGTGCCCTATTAAGTATCGATTTTTTTTGGTGGCACTGGGGTTTGAACTCAGGACCTCACACTTGCTAAGCAGGAGCTCTATCACTTGAGCCACTCCACCAGCGTCAAGTATCTCAATTTTTTAATATTGATTACATGTTGAAATTATATTTTGGAAATTTGGGGTTAAAATATATGTAAACGAATGTTTGTGTTTCCTTTTTAAAATTTGGTTACTAGCCAATTTAAAATTACATACGTGGCTTGCATTTGTGACTCATGTATTTCTATTGGACAACATGGTTCTAAGCAGAGGTCAGAAAGCTTTTTGTATAGTGCCAGAACAGTTGAGTATTTTAGACTTTATGGCCCATACAGGGTCTCTATTTCATATTCTTGTTTTTGTGCCTTTTGTTATAATCCCTTAAAAATGAAAAAAAAAACTATTGTTAGCTCACAAACAGCACAAACACAGGCTATAGTCCAGATTTGGCCTATAGGCTGTGGTTTACCAATCACTAACCCTAGCAGCCCAGCTAGTCTAGAGAACTTTAATACTTTGAAGAATAAAGGTGAAGCTTTAATTAAGAGTATAAACATTTGACCTTTGACCAATCAGCATTTGATTTCTTACAGAAAATACTTCTTAGCCAGGTGCCTGTGGCTCTTGCTGGTAATCCTAGCTACCCAGGAGGCAGAGAACAGGAGGATCGGAGTTTGAAGCAAATAGTTTGTGTGACCCTATCTCAAAAAAAAAAATCACAAAAAAGGGCTGGTGGAGTGGCTTGAGGTTTAGGCCCTGAGTTCAAACCCCATACTGCCCCCGCCCCCCAAAAAAAGAAGAAGAAAATGCTTCTTTTCTGTTTTCTTAGGTGTTATAAATTGTTCAAGTTTGAGTTATGTGAAACTTCTCTCTCTTTTAGTCGTCTGTCTATTTTAAGCATTCTTATGAAGACTGGCTGGAAAACAATGGATTGAGCATCTCCCCTTTTCACATAAGATGGCAAACTGCAGTCTTCAATCGTGCCTTTTACAGTTGGGGACGGCGGAAAGCAAGGATGCTTTACCAATGGTACTCTTCATTTTCCCTTTTTGACTTAAATTAGACATTGTAATCATCGGAGATAGCTTGTTAAATTAACCATTTCCATCATGTTTTGATATACTAAGTTCTTAAATATTGACACTAGAAAAGCTTTTTGGTTTTCTCATACAGCTTTTTGGTTTTTTATATCATTATGCTTTTCTTAGATTAAAAATCAAATGACTTAAGGTGTTTTATTTGTTTGGGGTTTACTATGATCTCTGGGATACCCAGCTACAGGTTCTGTAGTTGAGAGAATGTGGGGATGGTGGATTTCGTGGTCTAAATTCCTTCTTTGTTAAAAATATAGCTCCAAGCCAGATGCCAGTGGCTCACACCTATAATCCTAGATAGTCAGGAGGCAGAGATCAGGAGGATCATGGTTTGAGCCAGCCTCAGGCAAATAGTTTGTGAGACCCCCATTTCCAAAATATCCAACACAAAAAAGGGCTAGTGGAGTGGCTGAAGTGATAGAACAACTGCCTAGCAAGTGTGAGGCCCTAAGTTCAAACCCTAGTATTGAAAAAAGAAATGTACCCCCAAGCCAGGCATGATTGTTCATGCCTATAATTCCAGCACTAGAAGAGATGAGGCAGAGAGACTGTGAATTTGAGGACAGTCTGGGCTCCATAGTGAGAGTCAGTCTCTTTCTCTCTCTCTCTCTCTCTCTCTGTTTCTCTGTGTGTGTGTGTGTGTGTGTGTGTGTGTGTGTAAGTGTGTAAACAAAGCATCAAAGAGCAGAAAATGCAATAGGCAATCAAGGCATATAAAGTAAAAAAAGGAAATAATAAAGAACAGAAATCAGCAAAGTAAAAAGTATATAGTAATGAAAATCAACAAAGCCAAAAGTTGGTTCATTGAAAAGATTTAAAAAGAAAAAAAACATAGTAACTAAAAATCAGAATTGAAAAGAGGACATTATTACAGGTTCAATGGAGATTTTTTTTTCATTTTTCTTTTATTATTCATATGTGCATACAAGGCTTGGTTCATTTCTCCCCCCTGCCCCCACCCCCTCCCTTACCACCCACTCCGCCCCCTCCCGCTCCCACAACCACTGTGTTGGCGTTTATATATGCTTTTAGGTCTTTCAGGGTATGTTTGATGAAATTGGGTGCGTTGACATTGGGTGCGTACAGATTGATGATTATTATTTCCTTTTGGTCTATTTCCCCTTTTATTAGTATGGAATGTCCTTCTTTATCTCGTTTGATCAATGTAGGTTTGACGTCTACTTTGTCAGAGATAAGTATTGCTACTCCTGCTTGTTTTCGGGGGCCATTGGCTTGGTAAATCTTCTTCCAGCCTTTCATCCTAAGCATATGCTTATTTCTGTCGGTGAGATGAGTCTCCTGTAAGCAACAAATTGTTGGATCTTCTTTTTTAATCCATTTTGTCAAATGGTGTCTTTTGATGGGTGAATTAAGTCCATTAACATTAAGCGTTAGTACTGATAGGTATGTGGTGATTCCTGCCATTTAGTTGTCTTAGTTGTTTGAAGGTTTGATTGTGTGTACCTAACTTGATGTTACTCTCTACTGTCTTGCTTTTTCTTATCCTGTGGTTTGGTGCTGCCTGCCTTTTCATGGTTAAGTTGGGTGTCACTTTCTGTGTGCAGGATCCCTTGCAGAATCTTTTGTAATGGTGGCTTTGTGGTCACATATTGTTTTAGTTTCTGCTTATCGTGGAAGACTTTTATTGCTCCATCTATTTTGAATGATAGCTTTGCTGGGTAGAGTATCCTGGGGTTGAAGTTATTTCATTCAGTGCCCGGAAGATCTCACCCCATGCTCTTCTTGCTTTTAATGTTTCTGTTGAGAAGTCTGCTGTGATTTGATGGGTTTACCTTTGTATGTTACTTGTTTTTTCTCTCTTACAGCCTTCAATATTCTTTCCTTAGTTTCTGAACTTGTTGTTTTAATGATGATATGTCGTGGAGTAGTTCTATTTTGATCTGGTCTGTTTGGTGTCCTGGAGGCCTCTTGCATTTGTATGGGAATATCTTTCTCTAGATTTGGGAAATTTTCCGTTATTATTTTTTGAATATATTACGTATTCCCTTCGCTTGCACCTCTTCCTTCTTCGATGCCCATGATTCTCAAGTTTGGTCTTTTGATGGAGTCAGTGAGTTCTTGCATTTTCTTTTCACAGGTCTTGAGTTGTTTAATTAATAGTTCTTCGGTTTTTCCTTTAATTACCATTTCATCTTCAAGTTCTGAGATTCTGTCTTCTGTTTGTTCTATTCTGCTGGATTGGCCTTCCGTTTTGTTTTGCAGTTCTGTTTCGTTCTTTTTTCTGAGGTTTTCCATATCCTGGCAGTTTTCTTCTTTATTTTGTCTTTTTGTCCTGAGTTCATTTATCCATTTATTCATTGTGTTCTCTCTTTCACTTTGGTGTTTATACAGTGCTTCTATGGTTTCCTTTATTTCTTCTTTTGCTTTTTCAAATTCTCTATTTTTATTGTCTTGGAGTTTCTTGAGTGTCTCCTGTACATTTTGGTTGACCCTGTCCAGTATCATCTCTATAAAATTCTCATTGAGTACTTTTAGTATGTCTTCTTTTAAATTATTCTTGTGGCTTCATTGGGTCCTTTGGCATAGTTTATCTTCATTTTGTTGGAGTCTGGATCTGAGTTTCTGTTCTCTTCATTCCCCTCTGGTTCCTGTACTAATTTTTTGCTGTGGGGAAACTGGTTTCCCTGTTTTTTCTGTCTTCCCGTCATTGTCCTTGGTGTTGTTACTGTCCCTGTACTGTGTGCAATTAAGTATTTTCTAGCTTGTAATAATAACAATGGTAATATTTAGAATGGAAGAGTGAGCTGAGATGGAAAGCAAGAAGTTAAAGAAAAGGGGAAAACAAATATACAGACAAGAGGGAGAAAGCAGAACAAGGTATCAGACAAGAGAGTTTCAAAGGTATAAACAGGGAGTGTTAGTGTACTAATCGACAGTAAGCTGAACAGACATTAGAGAGACAGAGAGAGGATTGAAAATCAAAGATAAAAAAATAAAAAATAAGTAAATGAAAGTAATATCTATATATAAAAATGAATTAAAATAAAATGGAAAATAGAAAATTAAAAAAAAAAAACCAAAAAACTTCCAAGTTTATATGCAATGAAGTTTCAGTCTTAATAATTTGGATGTCCGTCTCAATCTCCAGTCCTGGAGTTGGTGCCTCAGATGTTGTTCTGTAGTTGTCTCATCAAAGGGGATGCATAAAGTAGAACAAAACTACACACTCACACACACACACACACACACACACAACACACACAAAAGCCCCACCAAGTGTCCCCAGTTCAAATGCAATACAGTTTCAGTAAGTTTTTCGGCTTGCAGGTGTAATTCGGTTGTTCTCTCATCAAAGGTAGGGAGAAAAAGAAAAAAAAAGCATCTGAAGGCAGTTCTGAGAGTGGTATCTGCAACTGTGGCTTGCCTGCCTGCTGCTCTCAGCCTGTAGCTGGCGGTGTTATTTATGCAGATCTCTGGGGTGAGCTAGCACTCACCTGGTCCCACAGGCTTTGTTTGCTCAGAGTTCTCCTGTGCGGGGGGCCTCTGCTACAGGCTTTCCCCTTTCCAAGCACTGGGAAAGGTGACACTGCCCCGCGTTGTCAGGCCTGCGTGTTTATTTACAGTTCATGTGGGAGGTGGGTCTTCCCCCCTCTCCTCTGAAGTTTTCTTCCCACTGCCACTTTCAGAAGCTTTCCTGCTCCTGCTTACTGGGCGGTGCTGCTGCTCCTGCTGGCCGCCATGTTTGTTTACAGTTCACGTGGGAAGTGGGTCTTCCCTCCTCTCACAAGCTTCCCTGCTCCTGGTTGCTGGGCAAGCGCCCAGCTCCTGCCAGAGCCTCTCTGGCCCGCCCAGCTTGTTTATTTACAGTCCCAGGAAGGATTCCCTTCCCCCAATCTTCAGCGCACAGGGGGCCCCATCCTCTTTCCGGCGTGTCTTAACTGTTCTTATTGCTTATTACTCAGTTTCTCTTTTTTTTTTCCCGGGTGGAGGTCAGTCTGTCCAGGGGGCTATGCTGCTCTGGCCTAGGCTTGTCTGTGGGGCTACCACGGTACCGCTAAGCTCACCTGGTCCGCGTCTTCCCAAGCCATATGGGCGCTGGCCACTGGCGGCCCCGGGGGCCCTCCTCGTTTCTCTGTTTAACGTGGAGTGGAGATTCTCTGCACCAGCTGGAGATGTGGAGGGGTCAAAGTTATGCCTTTTCTTGGTGATTATGCCTGCAAAGTGTGTCTCCAGCGTCTCTCCAAGATTTCACTATAGGAGGGTCGCTTTCTGCTTCCTACCTCTAGCCACCATCTTGGAATTCTCAATGGAGATTTAAAATAATGAGACTACTAGGAAAAATTCTATAACCATAAGTAGACAATTTAAATAAAATGTACAAGTTCCTTAAAAACACAACTTATTAAAAAGTTAGAATATGTAGCAGATTATTCCCAACTATAGAAGAGTAATTCTTCTATTTTTCTTGTTCTTTTTGGTGGTACTGAAGATTGAATTTAGGGCCTTATGCTTGTCAGGCAAGTTCTCTGCCACATGAACCATGCCCAGTCCTTTTGCTTTTAGTTTGTTTTTCAGAGAGGGTCTCACACTTTTGCCCCATACTCTGTTTGTTTTCGTGATAGGGTCTTGCTAACTCTTTGTCTTGGCTGGCCTTGAGTCATGTTCCTCCTGATCTCTGCCACCCCAAGTAGCTGGGGTTACAGGTATGTACTACCACATTCAGCCTACAGAAAAGCAATTCTAATTATTAAAACAACTGAAGAAAGAAACTGCTATTAAATTTTACCATGTTAATATTTAAACTCATTCACACAATATAGCTAAAATAGGATGCAGATCGTACAACAGATAGATAAAAATGAATGTCTACAATGTCAAGAGCTTTCCTAACTGTATTAGAATAGGATGTTCTAGTAAGTGTTCTATAAATGAGAAAATACATGAGAAGAAACACACTTTTTAGTTGGGAATGATATTCAGCTTCTTTGGGTACCAAAGAATTATAATTTATTAGAACTGCTTAAAGAAACATGTCATGTTTCAGTCAAATATTTAATATTCAGATAGGAAAAAGAAACTTTTGGCCATTAAAGCTATGAAGTATATCTGGTCAATAAATTATTAGTCCAGTCATTATAAAGAATTACACATTTACAGGATTTTTTTCCTTTTGACAGGTTCAATTTTGGAATGGTGTTTGGCGTAATTGCCATGTTTAGCTCTTTCTTTCTCCTTGGGAAAACACTGATGCAGACTTTGGCACAGATGATGGCTGACTCTCCCTCTTATTCTTCCTCCTCTTCCTCCTCCTCTTCCTCTTCCTCTTCCTCTTCCTCTTCTTCTTCCTCTTCCTCTTCCTCCTCCTCCTCTCTTCACAATGAACAAGTGTTACAAGTTGTGGTAAGTACCTTCTTTTTGCTTTAAATGACTTTGTTGAAATGTAGATAAAACTTTTTTTCTGGCTAGTATAACTACTATACATAGTATAAACATGAAAATAAAAGTCTTACATTTTTTCAAAGTATTTGCTTGAAAAAAAAATTAGCAGGTAATTAGCAGGAATTGTTGCAGTATTTGGTGTGATAGTGGTAGTACCAAAGAATAATCAGCCCCAAGATACTTCAGCATTAGTACTGATGTTCAGTTTAATTCCTATTGTCTTCATAAGATATGAAATGACTGTCACTTTTAAGAAGTAAGCATGCTGATTTAAATCTCTAAAATTTATAAATAAATTTCATTTTACGCATTGCTATTTTTATTTATTTATTTACTTTGGTAGTACTGGAGTTTGAACTCAAGGCCTCACACTTGCTAGGCAGGTGCTCTACAGCTTGAGCCACTCCACCAGCTCATACATTTCATTTTAATCCTATGCAGTGTTTCCCTGTCATTTTCATGGCTTTTAGAGTCTAACAATATCCTTTTAATTAAAGGTTAAAGACTGGGGACTAGAGGTGTAGATCAGCAGTAGATCATTTGCCTGTCATGTGCTAGGCCCTGGGTTCAATCCCTAGCACCACAAAAAAAAAATAAGCATAAGACCTTTCTGAATGGTCACTATGACTTCTTTCTTAATTTTTTTTTTTTTTGGTGGGACTGAGGTTTGAATCCAGGGCTTTGTGCTTGCAAAGTGGGTGCTCTACCACTTGAGCCATACCTCCAGTCCATTTTGCTCTGCTTATTCCAGAGATGGGGTCTTGTGAATTGTGTCTCCAGGCTGGCCTCCAACCATGATCCTCCTGATCTCAGCCTCTCAAATAGCTAGGATTACAGACGTGAGCTACCAGTACCCAGCTTCATTTCTTAATGTAAAAAATAATATGCTGAGTTTGCTTCTTTGATTGTAAGCTATTTAAAATAATTTTCAATTTAAAGCATACATGTAGACCTATACTTTATCTTTTCATGTCACCAGAGTTTAGAAGGGGCCTTGACATTGTTTCACTTTTATTTCACATTTTTACATTTATAGTTCCCATTCCATGACTCATCAATGTTATGTTTTTAATCATATTCTTATTAATGGAATGGTCTGTTTAAGGATTAGGAACAGTTTAAAAGAAAAAAACTTGTGTCTTTGTGACTTCTGCTAGACTGGGTCATTATGGGAAGATTTAGAAGTCATTTATGGAGAGCAATATAGAATAGTCATACTTATTTCTTAGGTGTTAAAAAGATTCACCAAGTGAGGCTGCAGAAGAAATGACGTATTTCTTCAGCAAACATATACTGAATATATTCTGCCTACTGGCCTCATGCTGGGTCCTCCTTATGTGGGGAACAAAATCCATTCCTAGCACTTATGAGCCTTTTAGTCTAGAAGGAGAGCTGCTATGATTGTGCTACAATTGAACATCATACAGGGTGCTGCAGGAACATAGAGGAGTGCAAGGTGTGCCTAGCACTGGGAAGAGAATAAAGGGAGAGCTTCAACAGAAGAATGAGGAGACTCCACTTAACCTGGAAAAGGAAGATAGGAATTGAACAGCCCAGTAATAGAACAATATAACATTGAAAGGCAGAGGGAATGATCATAGTAGTAATACAATCTAATTAACAGCCACTGCTTCCTATGTCAGGTTTTTGTACCTGTTTTGTTTTATTCTTGCAAAAAAACAAAGTATTGGTGTTCTCTCTGACTTACAAATGAGAAAATCAAGGCATGAAGACATTAAGTCACTTGCTTGTGGTCACAGCTAGTAAATAGTGGATCCCTTGTTGCTAACCATAGAATCTACACGTTATGCTGCACTTCTCTTAAGAAAGACAAATAATTCTTCAAGGAGGTGTATGTAATCTCAACCTGTGCCTAGGAGATAAATGGTGAAATGATGAGTAGGAGTGTTGGCAAGTGAACTGGATGGTAGGTAGGAGAGAAGATGGGAGATAGAGGTTGGATCTAGGTTATAAAGAGTCATTCTAGGATGTTTTACCTGCAGATAACAGTAATGTGCAAAATGAGTCAGTGTTGACTAGACCAAAAATGAGAGGGCAGCTGGAATAATTCCCATTAGGAATGGTAAGGATCTAAACTAAATTAGTGGCAAGGAGAACGAAGGGGATGAATTTGAGTGATCTTTTGGAGTGAAGTTCTCAGGTCTAGTGATTAATTGAATGTGAGGCCAAAGAGAAAAGGAAGAATTTAGGGTGACTTTCAATTACACGACTAGTTATTGTTCACCAAGAAGAGGATAGGAGGGAAGATAACTGGTGTGAAGGAAATATGATAATTGAAATATCTGTCTGCTAGAAGAATGACAAAATGTTACGTAGACAAGTAATTATTTCTTCTCTTTGCTTTTCAGTTTCATTCATAGTGTTCACAAAAACACTAACTGTAGGGCAAACTGAGCTTTGGAACCATTAAAAATCAGTAGTCCCTCTAATAATTTTAAGAATGTTATATCTTCTGACTTTGATATAAACCCTTGTAGCTTAAAGGACATATTTTCTGTTTACTCTATAATTCCTTCCAGCCCTGTTCAGTATTAATTCCCACAACCCTGGCACTCTGTGTTGTTGAGAGTATTCTATGTTCAGTATTCTGGTACATTTAATACCCTGTGTGATCTTGGCAGAGACAGATGGACAATCTTGTACAGTTGCCAGCAAATAAGACCTACCATCTGTTGGTATAGTCACACAATGAAATTCTTACTTTATCTCACTCATTATTACATCCTGAAGATAATAAAAAGAAAGAACAAGTACCCTATTGGATCAGGCTTGTTGATTTATTTGAAGTAAAGGTAAGGTAATCAGGATATTTTGTGAGACAAAGGGAATATATGAGAATTAATCTTAAGTACACAAACTTAGAGCACAGTCAGACAGGAAAACTACTGAGCTGAACAGATGCCTGCTGTCACGGGAATGGAGCAGATATAAAGAAGAAGAGACACTGATATTTTTGAAAAAAAGTTGCTCAGTAGGGTCTGAGTAAAAAGAATTCCAGATAATGAGATACTATCTACACATTAAGAATGATGATTATGCTGGGTGCCAGTGGCGGCTCACACCTGTAATCCTAGCTACTCAGGAGGCAGAGTCAGAGGGATCGCAGTTTGAAGCCAGCCTGGGCAAATAGTTCATGACACCCTATCTCAAAAATACCCATCACAAAAAGGCTGGTGTAGTGGCTCAAGGTGAAGGCCCTGAGTTCAAGCCCCAGTGCCACAAAAAAAAAAAGAATGATTATGAAAACTAGTGTCATAACCAGAGAAAGAACATTTGTCATCACTGGAATTTAGAAAATGATCCAAGCAACATTTTATGAGTCTCCTCTTTGATTTCTAAAGTGAAACTCCTCTGCTTTACAGCCCCAAAATAAATTCTGATAGAGTTAGAATTAAAACTTTGAATCATAAAAGTCCTTGAAAAAGAAAAATAAGGTTATTGTTTATATGAACACAGAATGAGAAAGACATCAAACTAATGTCAGAACTATATTTTTATGGAACAGTACTTTTATTCTTATTTGTTTTTAACTTCTAAAGATGTTATTTTTTAGAGCAGTTTTGGGTTCATAGTTTATCAAAAGAAAAGTACAGAGATTTCCCGTACACTTCCCACCCCTACACAGGCACAGCCTCCACTGCCATCAACAGAGGTGCATTTGTTACGCCTATACTGGTAGGTCATCCTCATCCAGAGTGCATAGTTTACATTCAAGTTCACTTTTGGTGTTGCAGGAAATGATGACTGTTGTTAGATTTGACTGCCCAAAATTTTATATATCAAAAACTGAAAGCAAAATAAGATTACAAGGCAAACAAACTGGGGAGTACATTTGTGATGTGTACTACAAGGGACCAATACTGATATTTGAAGTGATTTTACAGATCAGTAAGGAAAAAACAAATATTTTAGGAGAAAAAAAGTGCATGTTATAAGTAGACAATTCACAAAGACCAAAAAACAGACCAAAGCAGAAGGAAAGTTTAGCTTTACTAATGATTGAAGAAAATTTAAGTTAAATTACAGATTTGAATAAAATGAACTTGCCTAAAATTAAAGAAGGATCTGTTTTTGAGGAATAGCTTTATTATTATGTGTCAAAATCCTTGAAATTTTCTGCAACAATAGAATTTATTACCTCTGTGAGACATAATTTAAGCATTACTTGCTCATTTAATTCTCAAAATTACCCTTTTACACAAATGTGTTTATTTCCATTTTAATGATAAGGAACTTGAAGTGTTGAACAAGCATGATCTGACAACTTCCTCAAAGTCATTTATCTAGTTAGAGATAGAACTGGGACCTTGAACCCAAAGCTTAGGCTTGTAACAACTATGCTCATTTAAGAATTTATTCCCCCAAATAGTTGGGTATGTGTATCCAAATAGCTATCATAAAAGCAGAAACTTTTAAATAATTAAATGCCCAGCAATCCATTCTGTAGAACACAATGCACAATGTGGCTATTAAAAATCATGTTGAGCCAGGTGGGGTGGCATATGCCTGTAATAGCAGCACTAGGGAGGTTGAGGCAGGAGAATCTCAAGATCCACTCTGCCCTGGGCTACATAGTGAGGTTGAGGCCAGCCTGGGCAACATAGCAAGACCCTGTCTCAAAAAAGAAAAAAAGCCAGAAAACCATTGTTGAACTAGGAAATACTCATGAAAAGTTTTTAAGTAAAAGTACATGACAGAGCATTGAGAATTTTTTGTTGTTTGCAGAGTAAGCAGGATTATAGATTTTGAGTTTTCCTGCTTTCAACACTTTAAATTAATATAAAATAATAATAAATGAGAGATGGAATTTTCCCCCAGAAGGATGTTTTGGATCCCAACTCCTGGACTATGAGAAATAGATGATTAGTATGTAAATTATAGAAATTTTTTATAATGGTACTGAGGTTTGAACTCAGGGCTTGTGAGTTTGCTAAGCAGGTGCTCTACCATTTGAGCCATGCCTAGACTCTCTTAACAGATGTTATAACTTGAGAGTGATTATTTACCTCATATGAAGACTCTTTTTTTCATTTCTATTAGGACATATTCATTGTACACGGGGGATTCATTGCAACAATTCTGAATAGGCTTACATTGTATGTTCATTAGGTCGCCTCCACCATCTCTCCCCATCAACCCCTTACCCTCCCCACTTAAATAAAGCAATTGCAAAAGGTTTCTTTGTTCTGTTTCATAAAAGTATAGGGAGTGAAGTCCACCAACCATACCCTCAACTTAATCTCCTATACTCTCCCCTCTCCCACAAGTACACCCCCATTGTATCTGTTTTACTGTCCTGCCTTTCTTATGCAGACTATTGACTATCTGAGAGAATTTTACTATGCAGCCTTTACAGTACCAAACTTCCCTTGTGTATGCATCGATTGATATTTACATACACACCATCTTAGAAGCACATGACTGCAAGACCTCTGCTGCTTCTTTATATGTCCATAATATGACTGTATGTTCCAAATGCCTTCATTTCTACATTAAATTTCAAATTTAATATGTGGCTCTTTGGTACTGTTTTTCTAACCAATGTGATAGACAAACTGATAGAATAAAAGGAATGAAGGGCATGGTGCTCCCACAACAATCAGGTGCTTTATTACAGTAGTTTTCCTTGCCAACTGTCCCTAGCTTGAGAATATTAAAATGAAATTTAGTGACTTGGTGTGCGTCCTCTATTACTCAACATAAGTTCTTGGAACCTTGCGGTAACAATTCAGAAGAAGGACTAAGAATTCTCAATTTGAGTACCCAGCCTTTAAGGATAGATCAGCTGCTGCATGCTTCATTGTCACCCTGCACTCCCTGGCACTCTGCTGGGCTTCCTCATTCTTTCCCATGGTGAAGACTTCTGAATGCCAAAGTTGTAACTTTTTAACCTAGAGTTTCCTAATCTCTTTAGATTGGTGTTGTGCTTGTTCATTCCAGAGAAACTGCCTCATTAAAAAAAAACTGGTGGTTTTGCTTTTTATGATAGAAATGGAGAAATGAATTATTAATGGTCATATTATTTTTGTTGTGTAAAATGTTGAGTTTAGAGGTTTAAATACAGAGTGAACATCATGTTTCTTGGTACCCAATGGGACACCCTTGCTACCACCACTGATAATTACTGCCATTTTGTGTCTATGAACAGGTTCCTGGTATAAATTTACCTGTCAATCAGCTGACCTACTTCTTCGCTGCAGTCCTCATTAGTGGTGTTGTACATGAAATTGGACATGGGATAGCAGCTATTAGGTAATGATATCTGCCTTTTTCTTTTCTGCTACATAGAGTTTCATTTAATAGTTTATTGTTAAAATTGATAACTATTTTCCTTTATGTGGCTACTGCCCAGTGTATACCCATCATCTATTACTTTCAGTTAGTTTCTATTTTATAGAAAAAAATATTATATTGACGAATATGCTCAATTAATCATGTGCACATCTGTTCTCTGAGTCTTTCTGTCCTTTGCTTTTTGCCAGCATGGTCAGAGCCTTCTGGTGCTTCAAGCATTTTGATCCAGTTTTGAAAGCTGATCTTTTTTACTCATCATTGGGTTGGCCCTCCCTCCACTTTAGTACTTTCTTTTTATCAGGGGTGTGGAGGGCTCTTAGTATGTAGTCAAGGCTGGCCTCGAACTTACAATCTCCTGCCTCAGCCTCCCTAGTGCTGGGCTCACAGGTGTGTGCCACCACATCCACCTTAGTACTTTCTTTATACCTGCTACTTGTGATGGAAAGGGCACAAGGAATATCACAAGTTCCCAGCCACCCCACTGATAATTACTGCCATGATCAGAAACAGACTGACAAGAATGTATTTTATCATTTGGGTGCATGGGCCAGAGAAAAATCAAACCACTGTTTTAGAAGAGAGGATTTATTCTCTTACTGTTTTCCAGTTGCTTATGAACAAGGGTCTATTTACAGGCAGTAAGCTTTCATCTTGACGGCATATACTGTTACACAGGAGTGTGCATTACTGGTTTAAAAACGCAGCTACCCTTTTTTTTTTAAATCTTTCACTGTTGCTTTTATGTTTTTAGCCTTTACATATAGAAACATTTTATTAAGTTTAATTGTGAAATAACTTGGGTAACTTTTTAATAAAATCCATTTCCAACAAAAAGTGAATTATAACCAGTGGCCACACCTGTAATCCTAGCTATACAGGAGGCAGAGATCAGGAGGATTGTGGTTTGAAGCCAGCCAGGGCAAATAGTTCATGAGACCCTATTTTGAAAAAAACATATCACAAAAAAAGGCCAGTGGAATGGCTCAAAGTGTGGACCCTGAGTTCAAACCCCAGAACCAAAAAAAAGAATTATATAGTTGTCATATATATTTAGTATAAAGTGACAGCACAATATATTAATATGATAGCTTTTTTAGAGTAGCTGTTTTGTCTTATGAGACTATTAAATATAATGTCCATATTTTTTTAAATGACATTATTGGGCTGGCGGAGTGGCTCAAGCGGTAAGAGTGCCTGCCTAGCAAGCGTGAGGTCCTGACCTGATAAATAATTCTCTTGAGGACTATCTGACCATTACACGTTTTTAAACATACTTATCTTAATAATGACTCAATGGAAATACACTCAAGATAAATCTACATCATTATTTGTAATTGCTAAGACTAATAGAAGTATTTAGACAATTTACTTGAATTATATTTGCCTATATCCTCTGAAAATAGTTCATACTAAACTGTAAAAATGTTCACCATTACGTGCTAGGCAGGGAGTGTCTAACATGACTGGCTTACACATGGGCTTCGCTGCTCAGAAACATCCCAGACTTTGGTGCATTTTCATTGCTAGGAAGAATGAGCTCCTCGCAGGAGGCAGAGGGTAAGGAATCCTGTATATGGATTCCTCCACACTCTCCCTGTGTCTTCTTCTCTGGTGATCCAGCTGTGCCTCCTTACTACATTGCTGTAATAAGTCTTAGCCATGAGGCCAACTGCATGTTAAATCCTGTGAGTCCTTCTGTCAATGAAAGCAAGACTTTGGATCCTCATGGCTTAGGTTAGAATTGCATCTATACTCCACTTAAGGACAAGTTTCTGACCCTCCCTGTGTCTCAGTTTCTTCATCTGTAAAATGGGAGTAGCAATTATACCTATTTCGTATGATTATTTTGAAGATTGTATAAGCTAATACATGTAGAGCATTTAGAATGTGGTAAGCATCATGTATATGTTGTTCTATTTTTAATGTACTTCTTAATTTTCCCTTAACTAAAAGGACTGACTTCCCTACACATACTAAAAATTTCATCATTTAATATCTCATAGAATTTAGAATTATTAACCATTTCTTTATATGTGCCCAGTTCCAATTATTTGCTGAGCATTTTGCCTTCTAAAAATTTTGAAGTTGTAAGTCTACTTCAGAATGCTCTACATCCTACTTTACAAAATTTTATTTCACAGCTGGCCAAATCTGTACTACATTCTCATAAAATTAGGATGATATATAATATGTATACAACTTTTTAGCTATCTAGGGAGACTTCTTGTTTTTAAGCAAGAGTTTTACAGTGAACTTTAAGATTATATACATTCTTAATTTCACAAGTGCAATAGTATTAGTAAACTCCTTTTTCTTATGTGATTTCTTAGGGAACAAGTTCGATTTAATGGCTTTGGGATTTTTCTCTTCATTATTTATCCTGGAGCATTTGTTGATCTGTTCACCACCCATTTGCAACTTATATCACCAGTGCAGCAGCTACGAATATTTTGTGCAGGTAACAGACTTAATTTTTTTTAATGTGCATCTATGGTTTTAGTTTTGCTTTTTTGTGGTTACTGGTTTCATGGAAAGCACTCACATGAAAAATGGCATCTTATGTTTGGGTTAATATATTCACTTTATAAAACTCCCTCAAGTAGTATAGTGAAATAATTTATGTTCCAGTTTCTTTTAAAACAACATAAATTATTTAAAATATTGAGGCAGAAAACCTCATTTTTACTAAAGAAAAAACATGGCCAAAACCTGAAACTACAACTATGGAATGTGAACTTAGCTGAAATACAGAGAAATTTGCTGGACTGGCATAGTGGCTCAAGTGGCAGAGTTCCTGCCTAGCAAGCCTAAAGCCCTGAGTTCAAACCCCAGTGTTACAAAAAAAAAAAGACGAGAAATTTGCTCAAATCAAGAGAGAACATGAAGAGTCAACACAAGATAAAAGAATTCGGGAACGGAGATGAGATGGTATGCAAGGATGGGTGCTAAACTGTAGCACTGTCAGAGTTCAATCAGAGAAACTATATATACATATATATAACTATGTAGGGAAGAAATTCTGGGAAACACAGATCCATCTGATCTAAAGTAATAGGACAAATCCATCATAACCCTGCATCTCTTTAAATGAAGTAACTGAGGCTAAGCAAATGTGGAATTAGAATGCAGATTATGAAAAATTGGAGGTGGGAAAAGTAAAAACAGGTAGTCTAAGTACTAATTTCCTCACCTTCGTAATTGAGAGAGTCTATATCAGGTTAAGTCAGAAATAGATGTTAAGTATAACACTTAAATGTAAATACTACATGATCTAAAAACAACACATAGCTGGGTGCCTGGGGCTCATGCCTGTAATTCTAGCTACTTGGAAGGCTGAGATCAGGAGGATCACAGTTCAAGGCCAGCCCAAGCACATAGTTCTCCAGCCCCCATCTCCAAAATAGCCATAGAAGAACGGACTGGAGGTGTGGCTCAAGCAGTAGAGTGCCTACTCTGCAGTTGATGGAGTGGCTCAAATGGTAGAGCACCTGCCTAGCAAGCGTAAGGCCCTGAGTTCAAACCCCAGTATCCACCCCCCCAAAACCTTTCATGTTTTCAAAGTGTAAGCATGAAACAGACCAAAGAAAACAGACCTTATATCAAAGATAACTTAAAAGCCCAAAACACATTTATTTAGTCAATAAATACTAATGAGATAAGTTATCTAGTTAAAGCATCAGGCTGGGGACGTAGCTCAGTAGTAAAACACTTGCCCGTTACACAAAAGACCCTCAGGTCTGTCCCCAGCACTGCATAAATAAATAATTAAATATATTTGATATAAGTATAATATCAATAAGTATATATATGTGTGTGTAGATATATATATGTATGTATGTATGTATGCCTATATATATAAATGCCCTCAGTTTGGATTAAAAACATATCTTAGGGCCAGAAAAAACCTATCACAAAAAAGGGATGGTGGAGTGGCTCAAGGTGTAGGCCCTGAGTTCAAACCTCAGTACGCAAAAACAAAAAAAAAAATTGCTCAAGTTGTAAAGCATTCACCTAACAAACATAAAGCCTCAAGTTGCAACCCTAGTACTGCCCAAAAAAATCCCTCAAATTTGTTACATATAAAAGAAATCCACTTAAAAACTAGAAGATTGACATGGGAGGGGGAGGGGGACAAGGAAAAAATGGCACAATGTATGCACATATGAACAAATTGAAAAATAAAATTAAATTAAAAAAAGATTTTTAAAAAATTAGGAAGATTGAAAATACAATGATGAGCAGAATGTACCATGCGCATGTGAATATTAATAAGACTAAAAGCATGAAGTTAGGCATAGAGGGATCACTGAATAATAATGTGGAATATAATCCACCCTGAAAATTAATAGCTGTGACTCTTACTGAATCAAGTAATGAATCATCAAAACACAAAACAAAAATGGAAAAAGTACAAGGAGAAACAGAAATATAATAAAAATACTCAGCTCTCAACACATGAAAGGTAACTAAAAAAGGCTCTGGAATCTCTAAGGGTAAGAATAGTTCAAGTCAAACTCTATACCATGAACACAGAAGACAATTCCTTTTCAAGTGCCATCTATGAAACAAATGTCCATGTATTAGTTCACAAAGAAGGCCTCAATAAGTCCCTAAGAGTAATAATAGTAACAAGTTAAAACTATCTAAACTTTAGAAATTTATCTTAAATCACACCTTTGATCAGTTTTTTTTGGCAGTACTAGGGTTTGAACTCAGGGCCTTGTGCTTGTTAAGCAAGTGAGCCACACCTCTATCCCTAATCAATTTAATTTAAAACTATAATTGCAATATATCTAAAAATTATAGTAATGAAATAATTTTACCAGAATAATTTGCATTGTTTTTTTAAAAGAAAAACACACCGGGCACCAATGGCTCACGCCTGTAGCCCTAATTACTCAGGTGGCAGAGATCAGAAGGATGGTGGTTTGAAGCCAACCTGGGCAAATAGTTCATGAAACCCTATCTCCAAAAACCCATCAAAAAAAGGGCTAGTGGAGTGGCTCAAGGTGGAGGCCCTGAATTCAAGTCCCAGTGCTGCCAAAAAAAAAAAAACCCTCACTGCTTTAGGCACTTATTATGGAGTTAGAAATGGATATAAGTCAATTAACCAATAAACAAGAAGTATGAAAACTATAAAATAGTTAAGAAATGATATAGCCCTGGCTGGCCTCGAATTTTCAATTCTCTTGCTTCAGTCTCCCAAATGCTGAGATTACAAGCAGGGTGGAAACTAATATTTTTTTTCTTTTATTATTCATATGTGCATACAAGGCTTGGTTCATTTCTCCCCCCTGCACCCACCCCCTCCCTTACCACCCACTCACCCCCCTCCCTCTCACCCCCACCCCCTCACTACCCAGCAGAAACTATTTTGCCCTTATTTCTAATTTTGTTGTAGAGAGAGTATAAGCAATAATAGGAAGGAACAAGGGGTTTTGCTGGTTGAGATAAGGATAGCAATACAGGGCATTGACTCACATTGATTTCCTGTGCGTGGGTGTTACCTTCTAGGTTAATTCTTTTTGATCTAACCTTTTCTCTAGTTCCTGTTCCCCTTTTCCTATTGGCCTCAGTTGCTTTTAAGGTATCTGCTTTAGTTTCTCTGCGTTAAGGGCAACAAATGCTAGCTAATTTTTTAGGTGTCTTACCTATCCTCACCCCTCCCTTGTGTGCTCTCGCTTTTATCATGTGCTCAAAGTCCAATCCCATTGTTGTGTTTGCCCTTGATCTAATGTCCACGTATGAGGGAAACTAATATTTTTTAAGCTGGTATAACACTGGTACATCTTTTGTGGTAAAGCACCAAAAACCTACAGACATGGTATAGGTCAGGAATGCAAGGATGGTTCGACGTTAGTAAATATATTTGAATATGGTGAATATTTACCATTAAGGAAACATTTTCTTATGTAAGACAGTGTTGAGACAGTATTTAACAAAATTAACATCCAATGATGGTCTTAAAAATATGCTTATTGAAAGTAGTAATTGCTGGATATTTCATAATGTTATATTTAGAACAACTCGTATTAAAGGACAAGGCAAGCAACCCCACAGTCAACATTAAGTGTTGGTTTGTAAATGTCAGAGCAATTAAGAAGAATTAAATGATGAAGGAGTAGGTGTATAACTCAGTGTAAACCACTTGCAACATGTGCAAGGCCGAGTTCAATCCACAGCACCACAAAAAAATTTAGAAAGGAGTAGACTTTTTCTGGCTTTTTTTTTTTGAACTGGGGTTTACACTCACGATTTGGAGCTTGCAAAGCAGCTGCTCTATAGCTTGAGCCATGCCTCCCGTCCATCTTGCTCTGGTTGTATTAGAGATGGGGTCTCGCAAACTATTTACGGGGAGATCCCCCTGATCCTCAGCCTCACAAGTAGCTAGGATTATGGGCGAGGGCTCTGATTTTTTTCCAGGTACTATTATAATCCGGGGGGGGGGGGTAGACAAAATCAACCAAAATAAAATGTAGGAAAAAATCAATAAAGAACCTGATTGTGAAATTGTTAGTCAATCGACAATAGCCGCACGCGGCAGCAGGAGTTCTACAGCAAGCACGAAGGACGACAGCAATGAGCGAAGGACGAGAGCGATGAGTGTGTAGGCGGGGCCTGAGTGCATACTTGGTGGGCGGTGCAAAGCATTTGTGCAAAGTGCCTAGGCGCATGTGCTGTGCTCCCAGAAGCACCTGCGGCGATCCCAGAAGCACCCGCGGCGATCCCAGAAGGACCTGCTTCTTCCGCTTCTGCACCTCATTCTACTTCAGCACGCGTTTCTCCACAGACGTGCATTTCTTCGGACTTGTGCTTTCCTCCTCTCAGCTTTTCTCTTGCAGCCTCTGGTCACCTATCAGCTACCTAGTAGCCAAGAGCACTGCAATTGAGACAGCCATGTCCTCCGAGGAAATTATCTATATCAGCACAGAAAATTCGGAGGTTCCTGCAGATGCTTTGGAGCTGCAGCAGGTCAGTTTGGAGACTGTACCTGTAGAAACCACAGCGATGCACAGCGTGGAGGTGTGCAGGGATAACAGCGGCAGCTGGGTGCAGGGCCTCCACTGTGACCCGCCTTTCATCTCGCTGCAGCCACTTGGCATCAGCAACCTGAGCCATGGAGATCACGACCCGGATATGTTCATGCTGCACACTGGAGAGGAGCTGGTGGACTGCCAAGACATCGATAGCCTGCTAGCCATCAATGACTTTGAGGGCCAGCTGGCCATCCCAGGCGTCCCCGAAGATGACTTCTTCCAGCAGACCCTGGCCTCACTGTCAGCCCCCACAGCATTTGCAACTTTCGACCAAGACCCCAGTCTTCTCAATGATAGCACCCATAGTGGGAAGCTTAGTGGCAGTGGTGCTGAGGTCAAGTTCGAAGCCGAAGTGGAGGCAGGAAGCAGCAGTTCCAGCCTGAATCCCAAGACGTGGGAGCAGAAACAGGTGCAGATCAAAACCCTGGAGGGTGAGTTCTCTGTTACCGTGTGGGCTGAATGCGGGAAGAAAGAGGCGGAGGTGCAGTGCCAAGAACAGGCGAGAAGTTCGTCTCCCGACTACTCTGAGTACCTGAAAGGGAAGAAACTTCCTCCTGGAGGAATACCTGGAATTGACCTCTCCGATCCCAAACAGCTGGCCGAATTTACTAGAATGAAACAAAAACCCAAAGAAGATGGTCCAAGAACCATTGCGTGCCCTCAAGCTGGCTGTGAGAAGATGTTCAAGGATAACTCGGCAATGAAGAAGCACCTGCACATCCATGGCCCCAGGGTGCACATGTGTGCCGAGTGCGGCAAAGCCTTCCTGGAAAGTTCCAAGCTGAAACGCCACCAGCTGGTGCACACCGGTGAGAAGCCCTACCAGTGCGTCTTTGAGGGCTGCGGGAAGCGCTTCTCGCTGGATTTCAACCTACGCACCCACGTACGGATCCACACCGGAGACCGGCCCTTCGTGTGTCCTTTTGATGAGTGCACCAAGCGCTTCACCCAGTCGACCAACCTGAAGTCGCACATGCTGACCCACACCAAGAACAAGGGCCGCAGCAGCGAAGGGAAGAAGGGAGGCCCTTCCCGCACCTGGCAGAAGTAAATGTGACTCTCCTACATGGTGCCTGGGAAAGGCTTCGAAAATGAATTCTGTGAGTCTAAGTGTCAGTCAGGGAAGCTGAAAGTTAAACGTTAAAAAGAAAGTAAACCTTTATATGGGAGAATGTTGCTTAGGTAGCCTGTGGGGTTGGGTAATGGTGTTTTGTGTGAAATTTAGTTTCAACAGGACAGTAATTGACAAACTTCACATCAAAAGACGGTTCTTTACACAACTAGGTTAAAAATGGGACTTTTCGCGTTCTTACAAAGTTCACTTAGTGCTTTATAGTTTTTTTTAAATTTGTATTTTCCAAATGCTCATGGTTATACTTTTAAGATTATGCTTATGGATTCTATGTGTGGATTTTTTGGAAGTCATGAAGTGTGATTATAAGTTTAAAAGAACAAACAGTTTTATGCATACATACTTTTCTGCTAAAAACGAGTTGGATAGGTTTCATTTGCTGTCTTAATTTTGGTTGTGTTACCTGGTACAGACACATTTTGCCTAACTCTGTTTTAGTTGTATTGAATTGTGTAGTATTAAATGTTAGATGACTTAGTATTAATAAGGTGATTTAAACCTGTGTTAGTCACTTTATGTCCCCAGATACTACCAGATGCTATTGTTGAAGGTAACTTCTTTGCCTGCTGTTGTTGAGAGCAATTTCTTGGCCTAATGGATTAGAGATAACTGGTCAGTTCTAGAATATTTTCTCTCTCTTTTGATGTAACACCTGATACGTACATCTTTGTAATGTGTAATAGATAAAGCAAAAAACAAATAGCCATACTAAAGAAAAAGAACCAGTAGGTTGTCTGTATATAGTAGCTAGAAAATATAGGAAAGGGGTGAATAGAGGCCAGCGGTGCTACTGAACATCCATAGTGCCCAGGATAGTCCCCCACAACAAAGAGTTATCTGGCCAAAATGCGGATAGTGCAGTGTTAAGATACCCTGCTCTAGAGAAAGTAAAAGTTGTAACAGATTCCAGAGGTGTGCTTATAAACAAAGCACTAATGCACAAGAGGTTGTTTAGATAAAAGGAAAGGTGTGTACTCCACCCACCCCTATTGGCACTTAGCCATAATGGGTAGGTTCAGAATCTGGGAAGGGGGGGAATCTTGCAAGAAATAGGAAACTACCCATAACAGTGCTGCTGTGTGCCCCCACCTGTATATTTTTTTTCATGCCTCTTTTTGTTACTAGCAATACGGTGGGAGGGCAGTATTCTGCATTAGTTTGCCCAAATTATAATGCATAGGCTTTTTTTCGCTTTTTGTTAATGAAGCTATGAAAGCAGTATAAGAAATTGCATGTGAGTATCTTTTGTATTTTTTTTCTTTGTGTGTGTGTGTGTTGTGTCTTTTGTAATCTTAAGGTGGAAAGATTACAAATAAACCAATTGGCCATACCAATTTTGAGATTTTGGGGTGGGAGAGTGGGGGACAGGGTCTCATTATGTACCCAGGCTGGCCTCAGACTCAGAATTCTACTCTCTCTACCTCCTGAGTGCCAGGATTACAGACAAGCAACACCACACCCAGCCTGGCCATACCAAAATTTAAAATTCCTGTATATGAAAAACAACAAACCAAGTGAAACAAACTGAAGAAGAAATTGTAATACCTGTTACAGAGGACCAAATTCCTCAATATATACTATAAATAATAATACATGCAGATTAGTTTTTTAAAAAGATAACATAGTCAAAAACTAACGAAAGATGTAAATAGGTAATGGATAGAAATAGGCAGCTCTGAGACAAAAGAAAAAAAATAGCCTTGTAAAATGTGTAGGCTCACTCATAAGTAAACAAGTAGAAATCAAGACAATTGTAGCCAGACACAGTGATGCACACCTATAATCACCTGTAATCCTAGTAACTCAGGAGACTGAGGCAGGAGGGGGATCTCAAAGTCAAGAACAGTCTGGCTACATAGTGAGACCTAGTTTGAAATAAAATGAGATTTCAATTTCCACCCACTAAACTTATTCAAGGGGAAGGGAAACGTCAGTTATGAGAACATAATATAAACTTTTTGGAGGTCAATTTTAATGCACATATCCTTCTGACCTCAAAATTCCATTTTGGTAATTTCCCATCCCCTTGCAGATGCAGACTTAGATGTATGACAGTAAAAGCCTACTTGTCTACTGTAGTGTTGTATGAAAATGTTAAAATTCCCTAGGTGATCATTAGTAAGAAACCTTATAAATAGATTTATAATAGTGCATTGCTCTATAATAAATATTAAAAATGGAATAGATTATGACTGCAAATATGAAAAGTTCAAAATCAAAATACCGTATGATAATTAGTTCCCATTGGTTTTATCTAAATATAGTAGAAAGATTGTTTACCCAATAAGCTCTGGACCAGACTTGCTCTGGATATTTCAGGAATTTAACTTAGAACATTAAAGAAAAACATTTTAAATATGAATATTGTACCTAGCCGCTCTGATAACTAAAAATAACAGTAGACTAAATTGTCATAAAATATCCCAAATATGTAAATGGTTCAGTGTGTTGATATAATTTTGTGATTTGGGGTACTCTTGGACTCCTTCTATCTTGTTGGCTTTGCTATTTCCAACACGCAGCTTCTATGGTCATGGACTCTACTCAGCTCCATCACAGCCATATTCCAGCTGGTAGGACAGGGTTGTCTCCATCACTTCCACTCACATCCTGGTGCTAATAGGACACCCACCCTGCCACATGGGAAAAACCACAATACAGAAAGGGAAGGCTTGGTATTGGAGGAGGAGTAATCTAGTGTGCTACTAAGACCTGGCTCTGGAGGGTAGGATGTCATTTGCTGGTTTCTGCCATGGTCAGTTTCAAGCTGCCAACCTGCAAGCCTTGAAGGAGGAATTGGAAAAAGATTCACACAATTGACTCTTAAATATCATTAAAGAATTGTTAAAAAAAAACTTGTTTTGTATTCCTGAATATCATTAGTTATTAGAAAACTTACTGTATTGTACTCTTGAATATCATTAAAGAGTTATTAGAAAACTTGTTTTGTTCTCTTGAATAAGTACATTTATTATATATTTACATATATTTGTATATCTATCAGCTAGTGTATAAATATGTATTCAAGTATATGAATAAATGAATATATGTATTCATACACTAGCTGATACAGGATGAGAAAAATTAACTTCCAGAGGATTAAACAGAAAGTAGTAACAGGTGTATTAAGAGTCATGGTGTAGATGGTTGAGAAATCATATTTAGGGAGATGTTTGAATTTTTTAATCATGTATTTTTTAGGAAGATTTATATAGAGCAAGTTAACATCGTTTTTAAATTTGGCTTCAAGTCTTCGCTCTTTGAACACTACTAAAGTGGGCTTTATCGCGGTGGCTCTGTCCCTTAGACATTGCACTTAATGTCCAAAACTGGGAACAAAGAACGTATACTGGTCCCCACCAATAATCTGGCCGCCCACACACTCCTCCTCAGAGTTAAGTAACTTGGCAGCTAACCCTAACTGTGCTGCTATGCTAACACGATGTCCTAGTTGTCCCTCTCCCGGGCAACAGTTGCTTCAATTATTAAACAGTCTTTCAGGGAGAGGTTGGGGTGATGCTTGTCATGCCCCAAAATCAATAGGGGGCAAATTCAAAGATTTGAAATTATCTATAGGAAGAAGATATTAATATTTCATTCTTTGCTAGATGTTTGCTGATTTGTGAGGCTCCACCTGTGCTTAGCCATCAAAGCCGGAAGTGATCACTGGGAAAACGTATGTTCTTGAAGGTTGGAACAGATACTACGACTTAAATTACCTATTTAGGGGAAAGGTGGCACGTATGACACATGCCTAACCTTACTTTACTGGTTTTAAACTTGGAAACATAAAATGTCATTGCTTCTAAAATCTCCCACTTCCATTTAAAAAGTCCAGGGTGTCATTTATGTTAATCTACTGGAGAACTTAATTCTAGTTTTACAATGGTACTCTTGAAGAATTATATATATAATAGCTTTTTTAAACTTTTTCTTTTTTTTTTTTTTTGATGGTAGTGGGGTTTGGACTCAGGGTCTGGCAGTTACTAAGCCAGTGCTCTACCACTTCAGCCATGCCCCGATCCCATATAATACCTATTTTTAAGCAACGAAATATATACTGATTTTGAAAAGGAAAGTCCAGTATCCATACATCTGCATTTGGTGAGCATGGGAGACAGAAGAGATGGGACAGTTTCTGAAGCACATTGTAATAAAAGTATTTAAATTTTAGATTAAAGTAGAAGTTTAAAACGGAGGGGATAAACAGCAACTGATGTCAATCCAAGCTGACAGGAACATTGCCGTTTAAAAATTTCTTGGAAAGACGGCTGAGTCTGGGGCGTGGTCATTGCTGCTAGCACAGCATAGACGGCTGATTCCAAAACTCCAGTACCACACAAAAGAACAAAAATTATTGGAAAGACTGGGGATGTAGCTCAGTGGTTCAGTGTTTGCCTCGCATGTACAAGGCCCTGGGTTCAATCCCCAGAACCCAAAACAATAAAAACGACAAATCTTCCATCGTTGTTATAAAATCCATTTAATGTGAGATTAAAATTTGGACTATTCTTGTAAATCCTTCTCTACAGTCTGGAATAACCTTATTTATATTCAGTTATTTAGAGGGGGTTAAAGTAAAAATGTTAGTGACTCTAGAAAGAACACTGTAATTAATGTAAGCTATAGCTAACTACTGTGGGTGATTCTAGGAATGAGGATGTGAATTATTTTACCTATTATGTCATTTGGTGGCCTGAAAATCACTTCTGTGTATTTGAGAACGTGCTTTCTTTATTTTCAAAATACACTGAGCATAGTAGGACTTGATGAGGTAATCGTAGCCCTCTTTAATAATAATTACCAGCTTTAAGATTATAGGTACCTTAGTTTCCTGTGGATCACTCACTAACTTCCTTCTCCGTAGCCACACAGCTGGTTTTTTTTTTTGTCTTTCTGGTTTTCTTTTCGGCAGATACTCATCTAATTGAACTCAGCGGCCTTCATGCTGTAGGGCCCTTTGCTTTACCACTTGAGCCACACCCTTTTTGCTTTCATTTGTTTTTAGATAGGGTCTCATATTTTGTCCAGGCCGACCTCAAGACCATGGTCTTCCTACCTCCACCTCTCAAATACCTGGGATTATAGGTGTGTACTATCGTGCCTAGTTTGTTGAGATAGGGTCTCACTAACTTTTTTTTTTTTTTTTGCTTGTGCTGACCTTGAACTATGCTCCTCCTATTTCTGCCTCAAAGAGTAGCTGGGAATATAGGCATGTACCACCCACATCCAGCCCCACAGTCTAATTCTTTTTTTTGCCTTTTTTTTGGTGGAATAGGTTTAGACTCAAGGCTTTGTGCTTGCTAAGCAGGCGCTCTACTACTTGAGCCACTCCACCAGCCCTTTTTTGTGTTGGGTATTTTGGAGATGGGGGTCTCTCACACTACTTGCCCATGCTGGTTTTAAATTGTGATCCTCTTGAACTCTGCCCCCTGAGTAGTTAGGATTACAGGCCTGAGCCGCCAGTGTCCAGCTCACGATCTAATTCTTTTTTTATCTTTTGATTTTTTTTTGCACAATCTAATTCTTAAAGCATTGATCACTCATACTCAGATTTTTCTGCTCTTTCCCTGGTCTTATTACTTAGTATATAAATAAGAATAAAATTGGTCCTCCATTCTATCTAAGCCCTGTATTGCTTCTCTATTCTCTTATTAAAATTGTGAACAAAGCAAAAGAAGGCATGCATCATAACTATTTAACATCGTCCTGGAAGTTTTAGCCACTGCTGAAGCAAGGGGGGGAGGTTGTAGTATGAATGTTGGAGGAGATAAATAATAGTTATTAGCAATCCTAAATGAAAAATTCAGTTTGGTGGTTCATGGCAAAGTAAATGTACAAAATGGAATGTAGTGTTCCTATGTTTAAAATAACCAGATAGTATAATAAGAAGAGAAGATCCCATTCAGAAAATAATGTGACATTAAAGAAATCAGAAATTGACATTTGAAGGGCCAGAGGAGTGGCTCAAGTAGTAGAGCACCTTGCTAGGATTTCCTAGCAAGTATGAAATCCTGAGTTCAAACACCAGTACCACCAAAAAATAATTTTAAAAAAACAACAGAAATTAACATTTTAAGAAACTTATAGTTCCTATATAGAGAAAACTACAAATATTTAGTGAGAGATGTAAAAGAGGATTTGAGTAGATGAAGTAATGCCTTGATCCTAACTCAGAAATGTAAAAGTCTGGGCTAGGGATGGTAGCTCTAGTGTAGAATGATTGCCTAGTGTGCAAGGCCCGAGTAAGGCCATGAATTTGGTCCCCAGAATCACAGAAAGAAAAATAAATGTAAAATTATGGATTCACCCTTAATTATAATATTGTAGTAGTGTTAGAAATACTAATTTGAGGACTGGAAGCATGGCTCAAGCGGTAGAGCACATGCTTAAAAAGCACAAGGCCCTGAGTTCAAAACCCAGTACCACAAAAAAAATTTTAGAAATTTGAGTAATAGTTGAGTGGTTTTCAAAATGATTCTCAAATTTGCCAGAAAGAATTAACTGCTTTTTTTTCTCTGTACTAGAGTTTGAACTCAGGGGCTATACCTTGAGCCACTCCACTAGCCCTTTTTTGTGAGGGGTTTTTTGAGATAGGATCTCTTGAACTATTTGCGTAGGCCGCTTCCAACCACGATCCTCTTGATCTCCACCTCCTGAGTAGCTAGGATTACAGGCATGAGCCACTGTCACTCAGCTACAACTGCTTTGTGACTGAAATAGTCTGGAAAACAATGGAATAGTCACTGGAAAACAATGGAAAATCTAGAAGCAGGCCAATGAAAATATACTGTACATTAGAAATAGCATTTAATTGATGAGGAAAGAAAGCATTGATCATTAATAACTGGCTATACATTTGAATAAAATTAGGTACATTTATAAATCACACCATACACAAAAATAAATTACAAATGGTAAAGACTTAAATGTAAAAACAAAACTATTTAAAAACACCTTCTCAGGGGCTGGTGGAGTGACTCAAGCGGTAGATTGTGTGCCTAGCAAGCACAAGGCTCTGAATTTAATCCACAGGACTGCCAAAAAACCTTCTCCCACAGAAAGAGTAATTGCGTACATAATTACTCTTTTGCATAGCTGCAAAGATTGAATATATGAAGGCAAAGATTAGTGGATTCGGCCACATAAATTTTAGCTTTTCTTAAAAAGAAAGACACGGGAGTGGCAGAGTGGCTCAAGTGCAAGAGGGCCTACCTAGCAATGTGATGCCCTAAGTTCAAACTTCAGTATCTCATAAGTAAATAAATAAATCCCACTTCCTTTATGGTTTGTTGCTTTATAACCTGTGACATGACATAACATGCATAACTATTTGTTCCACCAGTATTACTCTCCCTAATAAAAGTCTCTTTCCAAAAATGCCATGTGGGCTTCCATATCCCAGTTCAGCAAGAATCTTTTTTTTGTTTCTCCTTAACTTTCATCTGAAATTTTTGAGGCTTCTTTCAATGATCCCAAGCATGTTTAAATTTTGTATATATTTTCTGAGTAAAAGATATACTGAGCAGAAGATACTAGTTGTTTATATTAAATTATAATGTTTAATGCAATGTTAACATGTGCATTTTAGATTTTTGTACCTGAAATGAAGGCGTGCTCTCACTGAGTATCTCTAAGTCTTCTGTACTATCAAGTAAATCCCCGTGCCTCACGGCTTTTTCTGCTCATTTTACTAATTTGTCAGAATGGAAGTCCAGCTACCCATATCATTCTTGCCCCTGTTGAACAAACTGCTATTTTTTCTCTCCTTTCAGGTATCTGGCATAATTTTGTCCTTGCTCTCTTGGGTATTTTAGCTCTTGTTCTCCTCCCAGTAATTCTCTTGCCATTTTACTATACTGGAGTTGGGGTGCTTATCACTGAAGTTGCTGAGGTAAGTAAAGGTTTGTTTGGAACATTCTTTTACCAGATGTCAGGCACTTTTATTAAAATTCTCCTACACAGAATGCTTGTTTTTTTGTGAAAACATCACTGTAATACTTTCAAGTGTAAATATAATGTTGGGAAACACATTGGCTTTATAAAAATGCCCTGAAAACTGGTTTTGTTGTGAGATAAAAAAAGTAGCGTCAAGATTTTTTACCTATAGTTTGTTGATAATGTTTCACTTAATGTTTATCTTCATATCTTTGCTTTTGAGTCAAATGTCTTCATTTCTAGGACATAAGAAAGATGAAATCTAGGCTAGCTAGCCAAAACATTGCGTAGGAGTTTAAGTTAATGTCTTCAACTCTGTATTTCATTCTTCTAGACATTAACTACTATGATAACATCAAGTCTTCTATTCACATTTTGAAGAGGAAAGTTACCTTTGCTGTGAGTTAGAATCATTGTGCTGATGGTATTATCTCTATATTTGGGACTACGATTAGTATATAAGGATTTATGTTATAGCATTATCCACTTAAAATATAGGGAAATCTCCCCAAAATTTTAACCAATTTGGAAAATGTTTTGGGTTTTTTTGTTGTTGTTGTTCATTTGTTTTGGTTTTTTGTGGTACTGGGGCTTGAATTCAGGACCTCACACTTGCAAGGCAAGTGCTCTACCATTACACTGGCTCTTTTCTGTGATTTTTTTTTTTGAGATAGTATCTCATGAACTATTTGGCCGGGCTGGCTTCCAACCACAATCCTCCTGATCTCTGCCTCCTGAGTAGCTAGGATTACAGGTGTGAGTCTCTGGTGCCTGGCCAGGGAAAATTTTTATCTGTTTTTTTTTTTAATTCTTTCACAGTGCTAGGGATCAAGCCCACAACTTTGTACAGGCTAAGCATGTGATTTACTTACACTGATCTATACCTCTAACTCTTTGTTATTTCATCTTAATAGTCAGCAAATGAATTTTTTTTTAATTGTAAAAAATTCAAAATCTTGGTGAATTTGCTGGATTTTATTTTGTTAACTTTCTAGGGCTTTAGATCTTAGATTCAAAGTCGAATTATTTATTTAAAATATTCTACTTAGTTGACTCAGTTTCTATTGTATTATTTGCTTAGGTTAATCATAAGTTGTCTTCACACATTGTCTGTTTTGGTTTTTCTCTCTTCCCAAGGACTCACCTGCCATTGGACCCAGAGGCCTTTTTGTGGGAGACCTTGTCACTCATCTACAGGATTGTCCTGTTACTAATGTGCAAGATTGGAATGAATGTCTAGATACCATTGCCTATGAGCCCCAAATTGGTTACTGTATAAGTACATCAACTTTACAACAGTTAAGCTTCCCAGTTAGAGGTGTGTATATTTCCTCAGTGTAATATAATGCTTCAAACACCAGACCCTTCTACTTGCTAACCTTTAGACTGTATCTGTAGATTTATTTCATTCTAAGTTTTTAAAGCAAATCGGTAAAATAAATAGACCCAAACTAATATTCTTTTTGCTACTTTGGATACTAATAATTTCCTTTATTGTATATTGTTGTTGAACTTCTAACTTACTTTATAATATCATATTCAACTTCCAGTATTTAGTTCCTTCTGCTTTCAAAAAACTTGTATTGAGGCTGGGGGTGTAACACAGTGGTAGAACACTTGCCTAGCATGCATGAGGCCCTGGGTTCCATTCCCAGCATCATAGAAAATTAAAAACAGAAACTTGTGTTAATTTAGCAGCATTCAACCTCAAACATAACCAGTTAACTAAATTTCAGTAACTAAATACCCCAATATAATATTATTTTATGCATATGTGTAGATATTCAAATTTTTAAGTGAGTATAAGTAACAAGAAGTTCTTTAGCTGGGCACCAGTGGCTCAAGCCTGTAATCTAGTTACTCAGGAGGCAGAGATTAGGAGGATCGCAATTCAAAGCCAGCCCAGTCAAATAGTTTGCAATACCCTATCATAAAAATACCCAACACAAAACAGGGATGGCAGAGTGGCTCACGTGGTAGAGTGCCTGCCTAGCAAATGTGAGGCCCTGAGTTCAAACCCCAGTACCAACAAGAAAAGGTAGTTCTTTGCATAAGCTTTTTTTCCCCCTTTAGTGCTAGAGATAGAACCCAGAACTTCCCTCATGATTTCTGGGCTATACCTCTAGTCCTCTGTATAAGCTTTTGTCACAACAGATGAACAACTGATAGGTAACAACCAAGTAGAAAAGATCAAAGCATAAGCATTCTATACCAATAGTGTTAGCCCAACACAAGTACAATAAGGAATGATTAAAAGAAATGAAAGGAAATTGGTGAACACCAAGCCTACCTGACAGAAAAGATTCCCTTATGTTTTCTGACTGAAATATACCTAAATTTACATGCTGCTGACGGTAGCTGCGTATGGATGGTAGCATGTCCTAAACTATTAGGGGTACAGTTATTTTATATGGCAGATATCCAGGGGAAGTTATCTTGGCTTCCAAAAATAACTGGGAAGTCAGATATGTTGTCCATTGCAAAAAGTGACAGAGCTGAAGCAAATTTCTTCTCAGAACCTGCTGAACTTAGAGTTCTTTCAGCTCTGACAAATCAGTCTCCTGACTTTTTATACAAAATTTTAGGGACTGAAATTTTTAAAAGTGTCGAAAAATACAAATTATGCTTACACACTATGTCTTTAAATCAAGAAGTGCCCTAGAGGCTGGACACTGGTAGCTCACACCTGGAATCTTAGCTTCTTGGGTGGCATAGATCAGGAGGATCAAGGTTCAAACCCAGCCAGGGCAAATAATGTAGGAGACCCTATCTTGAAAAAAATCCAATACAAAACAGGGCTGGCAGGATGGGTCAAGTGGTAAAGCACCTGCATAGCAAGCATGAGGCCTTGAGTTCAAATTCAAGGCCCAGTATCAAAAAAAAAAAAGGAGGGCTAGGGATGTACCTCTCAGTGGTTAAGTGTTTGCCTAATATGTATGAGGCCCTGGATTTGATCCCAGCATCAAGAAAGAAAAGACAAAAAAAGAAATTAATTAAAAAAATAAGTTCCCCTAGATACTTGTCCAATGCAAATGCAATTAATTATTAAGAGTAATTATACTAAGGCAAAGCAGTAATAACTGATTTTAAATTTTTTCAAATGTAGTCTTCCATATTTAAGAGGGTTTTATTTCTCTTCAAACTGTATTTTAACTTTTTTTTATTTTTTGGCAATACTAGGGTTTGAATCAGGGCTTCACACTTGCTAATAGGCACTCTACCATTTGACTCATTCTATCAGCTCTTCAAATTGTATTTTAAAAAGAGCCTTTTATTATAAGAAAAAAGTTCAAACAGAACATAAACATCAGGAAAGTAGTGTGAACGAACTCTTAAATATCCTTCTCACAGCATTAGCAATTATCAACAGTTTGCCAGTGTTTTCATCTAAGCAACCCACTTTTCAGGGGAATATTTAATGCACATCGCAGGCATGCGGTCATTTCACCCATAAACTTCAGCTTGACTTTAACAGATCATGACTCTTTAAACATGGCCACAGTACACCTAACAAAATTAATACCAGGTTGGTATTCCCTTTTCCCTAACTTTTTCTGTTCTTGGTTTGTGTTAAGTTAGATGGTACGTCTGCTAAATCTCTTTTAATTTGTAATAATTCCCCCTGGTTTTTGAAATGTCATTTGTTTGTTGAAGAAACATAAGTCATTTGTTTTGTCAAATTTTAGCATATTCTGGATTTTTCTGATCAGGTCTTATGTGACTAGCGTGTTCAGATGCCCTTATTTCCTATAAACCACTAATTAGGTATAGAGGCTTGATTCAGCATTCTCTCTCTCTCTCCCTCTCTCTCTCTCTCTCTCTCTCTCTCTCTCTCTCTGTCTTCAGCAAAATAGTTCACAGGCAATGCTTGGTACTTCCTATTGTAGCATATCAGGAGGCACCTGGTGTCTAGTGTTCTCCCATTTAATGACATTAACATTTTCAGTAGGCCAACCTGATTCTTTAAGGTTGAAATATTCGTCAAATCTCCCTGTTCTCAAGAGCCACTTACCATCTTACCAAAACTTTTCAGAACTAGACAGGCTCTTCACTATCTACTTCAGAAAGGGCCCTGGAATTACTATCACAAAATCTCCTGAGACCCTGGAGCTCCCAACTTTTTATGGGTGGGTAAGTCAAGAAGTATAACGAAGCTAGGGTAAATGCGGCTTCTTGATTTCAAATCAGTCAGATCTTGTTTTGTAATGTTAAATCAAACTGCAGCCATTAACTGTCAGCTGAATACTGAATTATACAGCTGCTTCCAGATTTATGTGCCATTTACTTATTCTTTTTGTCTTAAGAAAGCAAAATGTTGATTATAAATACACTTCGTATAAGATTCTAATAAGAACCATGTTTCTTTTAGCATACAAACGGCTAGATGGTTCCACTGAATGCTGTAACAATCACAGCCTCACAGATGTGTGCTTCTCTTACAGAAATAATTTTAATAAGCGTTTGGTAAGTTGTTCCTGAGGCAGTCTTGCTTGCCGGATTAATTATTACAAAATAAGCATACAAGGCTAAAGTGGATCTCTGAAAACTGCTTACTTTTGCTGTATTTACTTTGTGTCATTTTCTTAAAATTTCTGCATTTCAGGTGTCACATTTTATCTGAGAATCTTTAAAAATTTATAGTGATGTAATATCTGATGACCAAAGTGGGAGATTTGAAGCTAATTTGTAGTAGGGCCACATAGATGGCATTTCTTTGATGTGAACTTAATTCCTAATATTCTAGGTGACATGAAAAATATTGAAGTAATATAACTTGGATTTTTCTTGCATTTTTCATATTTACTAACTAATATTTATTTATAGCATACATGTCTACCTGCCCGGAAAGCAGTTGAAGCTACTCAAGTTTGTAGAACCAATAAAGACTGTAAAAAAGGCTCTGGTTCAAGTTTCTGTATAATACCTTCTTTGGAAACTCACACTCGCTTGATAAAAGTGAAACATCCACCTCAAATTGACATGTTGTATGTAGGACATCCACTGCATCTTCACTACACAGGTAGGTATTATTGTGCTGGAACCTTAGAAAATCATTAAGAAAATGAGAAAAAAACGTTTTTAAAGAAAACCATTGAGATCACATGTATTCTTAGTAGTAAAAACTCAGTACAAATCCTTATATTAATTTTATTTATTATAACTTTGATCACTTATCAAAGTCATTAAAGCAAAATATTTATTACAAATACACATCTGTATATTAAATGTGCTTGTACACTTGTGCTTATAATTAAATGAAATTTGAGCAGAAGAAGATAATCTGAGTTTATGAAGCAAGATAAAGCCTACCCATGGAAAATGATGCATTTTTCCTTCCCCGCTAGTAATGCCTAAGTCAAATAGAACTAAAGAACTCAAACGGGGCAGAATTTATCATCTCAGTAGTAACTGAAGCTTTTCTTTTTTTGGCAAATCTGGCATTTGAACTCAGGGCCTCACACTTGCTAGGCAGGCGCTCTGCCACTTCAGCCACTTCAGCCTCTCCACCAGCCCTATATTACTCTTTAATAGGGCTTTCTCCTTGCTTTGTAGTCATACGCTGAGAGACAACCTGACTCATTTTTCTTATTTTTTGGTTTGACACTAAGTGACTCTAGGTTATATTAAATATAACCTCAACAAATGAAGAAATGCTCCTAGTTGGGATACTTCAGAAATGTGTACTCTGGGTTCTGTTCAATTATAGGGTGGAATTTAAATATTTTGGACAAAAACAGGATTATGGAGTCCACAGAGTAGGAGAGACTTTAAAGAGTCCCTCATCTTAATCTTTGTTTTAGCAGTGAAGAAAAGAACCGATACCAAAAAGATGTTAAATAGTATAGTAGTTGAAGCAAATGTGATTTTATGATTATACCTCTTTAAGCTGCATATGTTTAGGAAGGTCTTTCTCAGCCAGTTTATTAGGCTAGCCCAATGTTTGACCATATGGTAAAATTCATAATGCTGTTGGTTATCTGGTATGAATAGTATTCATTACTATTTTTCTTTTTTATTTTAGTGAGCATCACCAGTTTTATCCCACGTTTCAACTTCCTAAGCATAGATCTGCCAGTGATTATGGAGACGTTTGTCAAGTATCCTTTCTGGTGTGAAAATTTCATTTAAAAAGTATATTACTTGGAGCTTGATCAGTTTTACCTTGAATACAGCATGACAAATATAGACCTTACTAAAAGTATCACTTAATTGCTAACAACTAAAAAAGAGGCCTTAAAAGCTGAAAGAGATGAGGTTTTTATATAGCAGGGAAAAAGTCACAGGAGAAAGATTGATCAGGAAGGGAGAAAGGTTAAGAATGCTGAAGGGAAGGAACCCAAAATACAAACTGAGAGTTGAAATTATAGGAAGTTTATAAAGAATGAAAGATTAAGTTATAGCCTGGCACCAGTGATTCATACCTGTAATCCTAACTACTTGGGAGGCCGAGATGGGAAGGATTGAGGTTCAAGGCCAGCCCCGGCAAATAGTTCAAAGGACCCCATCTTCAAATAACAAGAGCAAAATAGACTGGAAATGTGGCTCAAGTGATAGAGTGCCTGCGTAGCGAGTGTGAAGCCCTGAGTTCAAACCCCAGTACCAAAAAAAGAAAAGCTTCAGTTACTACTACTGAAGATAAATTCTGCCCCATTTGAGTTCTTTAGTTCTGACCAAGTGGAAGATAACCCTTATATGCATAACCAGAATATGTAAATCCATTCCACTGATCTGTGGAAAGAATGCCTAAGGAAGAGCAAGTTGGTTTCCATTGCTGAAATAGCAACTCGGGACAAAATTTTATGTGGTCGTTAGCATGTTAGATTTATATACAAAAGATGAAAAAGTTTTAAAAATTGATTATTATATAAAATTGAATTTATGGAAAGTTTGGGAAATAGTTTTATTTTTATCATTATTAATTCTTTTTAATTTCTTTCCTGGATGATTTACAACAAATAGAAAACAAATTAGTAGTTCCTAAAAATGTGTATAATCAAGACTGAGACTCTGTGGCTTTGTCACAGACAGATTTGTGCTATAACTGCATAGATGATGGTAAAATAAAGCAGGGCTTAAGGGCCAAAATTCTTCATTTTCTAATATAAACAAAGATTTTGTGAGGATCAAAAAGTAATTTGGGGGATGGGGAATGTGGGTCAGTGGTAACGCATTTCCTAATGTGCAGAAGCCCCTGAGTTCGATCCCCAGCACCAGAAAAAAAAAAAGCAATTTTTCCCTTATTCCTTATTCCATCCACATTCCTTTCCCTTTGTTATTTAAAGGATTAGAAGCACAGTCATTCTAGGAGTTCATTATGGATTAATTAGTCTGTAAGTACTTTGCCTTTATTTTTCTAGTTCAGGGTTTTGAACTTCAAAATAATACAAATTCACCTGAGCATGGTGACTGAAGCCTGTAATCCTAGCTACTTGGGAGACTGAGATTGGAAAGGTTTTGGCTTGAGGCAAGCCCAGTCCAAAAAAAAAAGAAAAAGTGCAGGAGACCCTTATCTCAAGTATTTGTAGGAGGCCAAGATTGGGAGCATCACGGTTGCAGTCCAGCCCAGGCAAAAAAGTTTGAGGGACCCCATCTCAACAGAAAAAGTTAGGCTTGGTGGGGCACCCTGGTCATCCCATCACAGTCTAAGCTGGCCTAGGCAAAAAGTGAGACCCTTTCTCCAAAATAATGAGTTGGCGGTGTGGCTCAAATGGTAGAGTGCCTGCCTAGTAAGTATGAAGCCCTGAGTTCAAATTCCAGTATCACAAAAATAAAGTAAATAAATCTATTATAATCTCAAATTCAGTCCCAGTATACTGTCTTTCCACTTCTGAAAGACGGTTTCTATTTGAACCTCACTGCTAGATCCTTAACTGATTTTAACCCAGGTACCTGATTTCCCTCTCTGGAGCTCTGGCTATTGTTAATGCAGTGCCCTGCTTTGCCTTGGATGGACAATGGATTTTAAACTCTTTCCTGGATGCCACTCTTACCTCAGTGATTGGAGACAATGATGTCAAAGATCTCATAGGATTTTTCATCTTGCTTGGTGGCAGTGTACTTTTGGCTGCCAATGTGACCCTGGGACTCTGGATGGTTACGGCACGGTAATATTTGCTCTCTGACAGAATCTCTAAGTTACAATATATGGCTATGTGGTAATATCCATTGCCTTTAACATCCTTACTTCATGTGAAATGTGTTTCTTTAAAATTCCATCTTGGCCAACATCCTTCAGCTCCTCCTGTATCCAAAATATCCACACTCTGTGGTGGAGGATGAGCAGAAGAAATGAAAGGCATGGTCCCCAATTGCATTCTTGTTTTAAAGGCTGAATGTGCAAACTTCACATGTTTGTGGAACAATTCCTAAATATGTACAAATTTCTTCACGTAATACCATTTGGTGTGACTACATAGCATGTTGAAATAACTCAAAGGAGAGCAGAATTGGATGAAAATAATTAGGAAAAAACCTCTTTTGTGGTGCTGGGAATCAAACCCAGGGCTTCACGCATATTAGTCAAGTGCTTTACCACTGGGCTACAGCCCCAGCCCCGGAAAAAAACTTGAAAAAGCAACATTAAGCTGGGCATGGTGGTACATGCCTGTAATCCCAGCACCCAGGAGGCTGAGGCAAGAAGATTGCAAGTTTAAGTCCAGCCTGGACTGCATAGCAAGTTCCAGGCCAGCAAGACCTTGTCTCAAAGACCAAACAAACAAACAAAAAACCCTACCCTATCATTAATAAAAACGTAAAAGAGACTGACTTTGGCCAAGTAGAAGGGTGAGCATGTTCTTGACCTGTATTTCTCGTCCTTTATCTTGTCTGAAAAGTATTTTATAGTTTGATGTGTATTATTTTGTACACTGAAAACCAAGGTCTGATCACAATTAAATTACTAAAATTCCTGAAAAAAAACCTGCTGACATGAAAGGGAAAATTTTTGTCAAATGATACCAAGTAAATGGACAAAGTTGGAAGTAGGGCCTGTGATATCACGAGATAGTTTGCACCACAAGCATTGCCTCTGATAATGTGTGCTGCAAGAAGCATCTCACACTACAGCATGTGTGCTTTTAAGCAATTAGAGCTGAATCTCAGAACTAAGCTGGGTCTTCTGACCAATCACAAGACAGAATACAGGATCTTCAGCAGACCTGGTTACCATCTCTAGATCTTTGAAGTTTGGAATCCTTCCAGGGTAGACATTGCCCCTTGTGCTGCTGAGGCCACCTGAGGCCTATCTCCAAGAAGCAACAACCTTAAGCCCTGAGCCACGCTCTGTCCTCACCAGCAGCCCCCATATTTCTCTCTGTTAGGTGATTAATCACCTAGTCCTTGCTTTCTTTCTCCGCTAAGCTACCTCCGTGGATCCACAGAAGACTTGGTGGTATGGTGAGAACAGCTGCACATGAGAGGGTACAAATGTGAATTTGCCAGAGCCTGGGAAAGGACTCTCGAACCTGAAAGAGTCACACCTAGTCTTGTGCAATGTAGATGCAGCCCTAGGAAATTTGGGAAGTCAACAGGCCAGTATGAAGCCATTGATCTTAGAAGTATATGAGCATGCTGTTTTTTGGATGCAAAACACACACTTCTCTCATATACTCAAGAGGTGAAAAAAGCAATAATTCATCAATAGCCAGGTATCCACTTTCTTCATGAAGAGAGATACTCCATGGGGTTACTGTTTTCAAATCATTAATTGCTCTTAAGCACTATAACTTTTAAACCATTTTTTAAAAACTTTTCAGATTGTATTACAAATTTGCCTTCTTTTTTAAACAGAAATTATGTATTGAATATCATTTTAACATTTTGTTAATGACTCAAGTTACCACTTAACACCAGTACTAAAATCATGCAAATTACTGGTTTATTTCCCCCTACCCCCAATATACGGTATTTGTTCTATTCTTAGGTAGACAGCCCTTTGGGACCAAAATGTATTAGCATGCTCAGACCTGTTCAGGTAGTAGAGCTTGGGAAATGCCATGAAATACTCATGTAATTAATTCAATTACATGAATTAAGCAGTTTACTAAGGAAAATGTACATGTGCAAATTGTTTTTTTCAAAACAGAAAAAAAATATTTTTGCAGTGCTGGAGATGGAACACAAGGCTTCATACATGCTAGGCTAGCACTCTACCGCAAAGGTACACACCCCTAGCCCAAGAAAACAAATTTAGTGAGAAGAAGTAGTATCCATTAACATTTTTTGTGAGTTAAAAAAAGCTCATTTTATTTTAGCCATTAAACACTACTGCTGTTCAGTAGGGTCAGGGTTTGGGAGTGACTCTCCTAGGAAATTAAACAGACCAGTACCATTTGTATAGAAATGGCCTCATTGCATAAGAAAAGATATGTGTTGTCTTTTCAGCTTGATCATGGGCTTTTCTGAAGCAAGGACCATGTCATTCGGCTTTGCCTCCCTGGCACAGTGCATGGGACATCATAAGTACTTAATTAATGTGGTTGAATGGATGGTGATTAGTGTTATTTATGGATTAGAAAAGCATGTTTCTATTTAAGCTGTAAAAAGGATTGTTGAATATTTACTGTAAATAGATGTTAACATGCAAAGGCTTGGAAGGTCTTTATGTCCCCGGTGTATTATCTTTATGAAAAGAATTCATTTTGGTTTCTGTAGAGCAATTAGAAAAGTGAATTATTGTAGAGATTTGGAGAAGGTGTTCCTTCTGTGTTGTCACTTTGTTCAGTGGTGAAACTTTATTCTTGGTGTTCCTATTCTACATTGTTTACATTTTTGAGTTTTTTTAATCACCTACAATCTGTAAAGAATATATATACAAATATAAATATATATTCTTTACAGTATCTCAGTTTGAAGAGAAGTGCAGTTAAACTTGACCTTTTGATAATTGCTCTTCTAGGTCATTGTTCTAACAGCCAATCGTAAACATACTTCATTGTTATGTGGCTCTCAGTCATCTTTTTGTCCTATGGTATTTATTGAATATCCACATCCTAGTGGCGCACAGGTGTTTTTTCTATAAATCTTTTGACTGTGCTGCAATTCTTTCTTAAGCTTTTACTTGATGTTGTCATAATTGCCGGCATTTAATGTTTAGCAATAAAAGAATAAATGTATACCAGCATTTTATGTTTATCATCATCTATTCTGTTGTCTTTTTTTAAATTGTACTTTTTTTCTATCAAAATAGTTTACATAGAGTAAGGTCTTCTTTTAAAATTCTTGACGGTAAAAGTGCTCTTCGTATAATCTATTTAAGAAAGTTGTTACAGGCCTATGTTCTCCTATTTTAGAAATGGTTGGCTTATAAGTGAAGTTACAGAATTCTTCTGTGGTTTTAGGAATCCTTGAAAAACATGTTTTAACTGTAACATTTGGTTTCTTCTTGACCTTTTGCCCCAGTGCTTCCTTCCTTGTTTCCAGGGTCAACCTCCCCTGTTTCCCACCTTTATCTACTAAAAGTCAGGTAAGAATAGGCTGGGAATTTAGCCGAGTTCCTGATTGCATAGCCTCATTCCACTTGTCACCTCTGATGTCCTTATACTTCAGTGAAGAGCCACAAGACTAAGTGATTATTTAGATCACTTCTTAACAGCTTTATTGGGAGAAATACCATAAAATTCACCCAAAGTATGAAATTCAATGTAAACCATTCTTTGAATATCAAATCAAACAAATAGTATACATGTGCTTTAGTGTATTCTTACTTTCTTAGTACATGTACTTGTGATAAAAGACTGGAAGAAGGAAAATGTGTCCAGTTATCTTACAACTGTATTGACTCTGGAATGATTTTCAGCACTAAAATAGAGTTGAATAACACATTTGTTTTTAGGCTAAAGCATGTGGATATACTTTCTTTGAGACAAACCTTTTTAATCAATGCACTTGCAAGCTCCTCTTGTTGTTTAGGCCATACTAACTTGAATTATACATTGCATATTTTATCAGATCATGGCAGATGAATTCAATAAAAGGAAAGCCTCTTTCAGAGCCTAATGCTACAATAGGTTATCCTCGGGGCAAGCGCAAAAACTGGCTAGAGGAAATTGTAATTCTGATTACAAATAGCAGGTTATATTGTGTAATTTAACTTTCCTTCTTAGCTTTATTTAGCTAAGATTGATGTGTAGCCAATAATTGTCCCTTATTAACTGAATGCGTCTCAGACTTTTTTAGTACTGACAGTGTAGTTGGGGAAAACCCAGAAGAATCTAAGAGTAGAATACAGTAATTGGCTCTCTGTGGTCTAAAATTAAAGTGTCACTTCATCTTAAATTCATGAGAATTTTGCATTCCATTAATCAGAAATCATAAAGCCACTTCTCTTAAAGATATGAAACTTTAAGCTTGGCTCCTGTGACTCACACCTGTGATCCTAGCTACTTGGGAGGCTAAGATCAGAGGATCAAGTTCAAGGCCAGTCGCAACAAATAGTTCAAGAGACCCCCATCTCCAAAATAACCAGAGCAAAATGGACTGGAGGTGTCGCTTGAGCAGTAGAGCACCGATAGTGATTTACTGAAAAAAATAGGGTTATGCTATACATAAACTACTAAGCTGCTGTTTAAACAAACTTTTTTTATTTTGGTGGTGGTGGTCCTTTTTTTGGCAGCACTGGGGTTTTGAACTCAGGGCCTCACGCTTGCTAGGCAGGCGCTCTACCACTTGAGCCACTTCCCCATCCCTATTTTGTGTTGGGTATTTTCAAGATAGGGTCTTGTGAACTATTTACCCAGGCTGGCTTTGAATTGTGATCCTCCTGATCTCTGCTTCCTGAGTAGCTGGGATTATAGGCATGAGCCACTGGCACTCAGCACATTTTTCTTTTTCCTTTTCTTTTTATTTTTTGAGACATTGTCTTGCTATGTAGCTCACACTGACCTTGAACTTGCTGAGTAACCCAGTCTAGCCTCAAACTTTCTATCCTGGCTCCACCTCCTGAGTGCTAGAAATACAGGCATGTACCACCCCACCTGGTTACAAATATCTTTCCATATTATTAATCTTCTAGTGTTATTTCAATGAGCATTTTATTTTGCTGTGATAAATATGACATAATTTGAGCAACTCCTATTATTTCCAGTTTTCCAATATAAATAAAGTCATTAAGAATATCCCTATAACTCATTTTTCATATCTGTGATTATATATAATTCTAGAAACTCTTTGGAAAATTGTAGGGGAAAGATTGCTTGCTATCTTGAAGTGTGAACAAAATTTTATATATACATATTGCCTTGTATTTCATTTTCCTGTTAATTAGGTATGCACAAATGGTATCTTGCTTTAATTTGCATTGCTTTGATTAGGAAAAAGTCAAACATTTTGAAATGTGTTTATTAGCTGTTGTATTTTGTTGTTTAGCTATATCCTTTGCCCATTTTTCATAGGAGTGATTATCTTCTTACTACTTTTCCTCATAAACTCAGCTGCACCATTTGATTTGTTACATGGGAA